ATACTCTGTTGAGACTCCCTCTAGACCTTAGCAGCCTAATTTTCAGCTCTTTGACACATGGGCATGTTGATAGCAGGGCTGTTTAATTTGGTTCAGGTTTAATTTTTATATACACTTTTCTCTCCAAACTTGGAAAGAAGTCTAAATCTATTTATATTTCTTAGGGGTGAAAGGAAGACCAGTTCTTGTTCCAAGAGCCGTTAAACATCCTTAGCACATTAGCATTTTATTTTCCAGCAAGGGGGGCCTAACTGAAAGAAATCTTCCAAAAATTCCTGCACACTGTGTGACCTATAGCAGAGCAGCCACAGAGAGTGGGAAATGGATACCTTTGCATGAGACTAGAGCAGAGGATGAATGGCAGGAGCACATTAATACGCCCTGGCCACTGATGTGTTTGTGTGTTTCTTCCATGGGACCAGTCTGGACTGTTGGAGTTTAATACCTCGTGAAATGTATTTAGTCATATGATGTAATAGTTCGTGTCGCATAATGCATCCGGTCCTCTGCCTCATGGGTTTTCCTCTCCTGAGAGACAGTGGTACTTGATAAGTTAGTCACAGGGTCCAGGGAGCTGCTTATTGGAGAGAACAGAACCAAAATGCTTGGTAGAATGACGTGACGGAAGAAAGACTTTACTTAGAGATGGCTGTGTGAAGAAAGACATAGTAGATAGGAGATAGAAATGTTTCTACCTGATCAAAGTTTATGCCAATTAATAATTTTGCCTTCTAATAGGATATTGCTTTATGGACTAGAAGCATTTTTGGTAATTTTTTTCCCCTGCTTTGGGATTTAGAGAAAGAAGGGCAGTTGTACTGAGCTCCTGAGAGCTCATAATTGAAATATTTCTTCCTTTAAACTCTGGGTGTGGAGGCAATTTGTAGCATATAGGATTAAATGAATCATTTGTATCTCCCATTGATTATTTTCCCTATTAGCACAGGGGATCCCCTCTTGAATGTAATATGGTCTGTCATCGCAAAAATGGAAATTATGCTACTGAAATTTTTTTCTGAAGTGTAATGTTTTTTTAGTCTGCAATGACCTAGGACTTTGATTAACCTGATTATATCTAGCCCATCACACATTTCCTTTATATTACAGACTTTTTTGCCTTCACTAGTTGTAACTGTGGTGTTTGTGCTGTACATTGATCAATGAATTACGTTTGGTTTAAATTCTCAATTGATGTTACCAATTTCTTTTAGCAAATGAACATGAGTGGTAAGAAGACTTACCCAGAATCCTTTTTGATCAAATGTGTTAGTCTCTTAGTTCTCTTTCAAGATAACCATTGAATTAGTGTCACTTAACTGGAAGCAGATGCTATGCAATTATTGGCTTTCACATCAAAGTAAAGGATTCTGCCAATCCTTGTTAAAAATGGATCAGTTTGGGTCAACTGTGAATACTTGGCTTTCTGCTACTGTGCAGACGTCTTCAAATTACAATTCAACAATTAAAAGCTAGAGTGGTCATATGATAATATGAGTAGCATATTTTTGGGAAGAGGCTCTCAAAATGAAGTCTTGGCTGAATATTTGTGAACTTTTTCAGAAATAAACTTTTGGTGTTTTTATTAACAATTGACTAAAACTGTTCTGGTATAAAAATTTGGAGAATTATGTTAAAATTAATGACATTTACTAACACTGTACATTAGGAGAAAATAAGGTATATGTTAAAGATATACACACTGGCACAGTACTGCTCCCTAGTTTCATCACACACACACAAAATGTATGATCTTACCATAAAAAGGTTATATTAAACATAATGAAATTTTGATTTCTCGGAAAGTGTGACTGTTTTCTACTCATATGACTTTTCCCTGAAAGAAAGTCTTAGTTGCAGCAAAATTTGAACACTGTTTTTAGTTGGATAAGCTCATATCCCTCTTTTTCAGTTCTTTCCTCTGTTTCGTTGTTGATAATTACTGGCTCTGCAAAAACTTACTGGAGAATTACTAACTGCAATCTATTTTCTGCTTAAACAAATAACTTTCTGTTCACATGAAAAAATGGACTTAAAAATGCAAAAGTTTTCTGGCCCTGTTTCAGAGCCTACTTGGACTTCTAAGATTTATCTTTTAGAAGTCCCAAATTAAATATCTACAATTTTTTCAACTAATTTACTTAAACAAGTTGAAGACTGAGTGGGCAATCTTTTTTCACTTACATGAAATGTTTTGTCTTGCCTTAAATTAAATTAATTAGGCTAAGCCTGATAAATCCATCTTTAATGTAAATTCAAGCAGGTTTTTATTTTAACTTTTTGTTTCCTTTTCAAAAACTCCTTGTTTGCTAAAGTAACTTTGAAAATAGACAGTGTATGGCTCTGCTTGGTTTCTTTTTAGTCTTCAGTTTCTCTGCAATATTTCTCTGCTGCTTTAAAAAATACCCTTTGATTAGTGCCCATCCTTCTGCTTTTCTGGCCTCCTGCATGTTTTTACCAGTTTATACTCTTCATTCTCTCTCTGTGTCTCCTTTTTGATTTTTCTTCTGGCTTTCAGGGTGCTTGCAGTTCTGCACTTGAATTTTTTGTCCTTTCAACTTTCCCTGGAAGTTCTTTGCTTTGAGCTATCTTTTTGTCCCTTTTAATAGGATTGTAAGGACTATAAACAACTATGTTGTACTTATTGTTATTTGACAAGAAGGTTGAATTATTGCACTCATCAAGAGATTCTCCCTACATGTACATAGTAAATAATTTGCAAAACAACAACAAAAAAGACAGATTTCTTTGGTTTTGCACTTTCTGTTAGAACTTCACTAAAATACCTTTTTTTCCCCTTCTGCACTAAAGATCCTTGGATAACATTCTAAATACTTACTGAATATTTGATGCATTTTTCATTTATTTCCACTCATAAAGGATTTCATTGTGGTTCTGACTCATTTGGGTTATGCAAATTTTCTTCTTATTAATGTTTTAGAGCATATTAAAATGGAAATGAATACCAGTTTCAATAAAAATTACCCTTTGTCTCAGAATACTCATATACAGATTTACACTACAGGCAGAGAAGTAAAACAGTTTAGAACAATGCAGTAAGAGTTTTAATAAAATGGGAGAAAATTGAAAGACAAGGAAAATCCATCATTGTGAAGTACATCAATGTGAGGAGTTTTAGAAGATATAGAGGAAAAGAAGAGATGAGATGAGCTATTGTATACTGGAGAAAAATAATTGAAAACCAAAACAGCTGAATAACACAAATATTTAAGCCTTTGCAAATGTAGAAACGTGACATTATATAGCATTTTTTTTTTTTAAATGTAAGCTTCTAATCTAAGCTGTACTTACAAAATGGAAACAAACAATTCAATGATGTATATTTTTGAGGAATACATATATATATATATATATATATATATATGCAGTCTTAATTAATTTATTCTTAGTTCTGCTTTTCATCAGGAAGTTTTTCAAACAGCTCTCTGGCCTGAGGAAAAAGCATTAAAATAAAGATAAAATGATGTCCACAGAAGTAGTGATGAAAAGGGTGGAGTTGAACTGAATGAACTGGAAAATGCTTTCTAGTCAGAACAGGAACCTTTATTACAATAAACATTTGCCTGCCTCTGGTGTTGGAGATAATAGGAAGTTGCAACAGATCTTGCACTGCTCACCTTCAGGCGATGTTGAAGTAGTCATCTTTGTACCCTGACAAGAGATTTCTTACATTATGAAAATACGGATCTGCAATAATTGATAAGCTTCCAGGCGGAGGCTGCCTGTTTCTCTTCGCGGATAGTATAGCACTTGTGCTTTCCAAAAATCATGCTTCAGTTGCAGAGATATTTCAAAATTCTTCTTACCAGGGCTAATAGGCAAATTGTAGTAATGCAAAGTAGAATGTGCATTCCCCTTAATTGATTTTGTGAATTTGCAGGTGAGGAAATCTCCAGACCTGCTGCATCAGTTACCTGTTACAAGCTGCCGCTTGGGAGATCATATGATCTGTTTAGTAAAGTAGTACAGGTCTGTCATAAAGGAGTTATATTTTTTTCATCCCACTATTCCTATTAAAGGAGTGCCAGCCTTACACGATTGTCAGTCTAATTTTGTCTGGTTCTTACTGTCATTTGCCTTGGGCTATTACTGTCCTTTAACTTTTGCAATCAACTTCTGTTTTTTCTACTATGTCCCTGTCCCCTAGATTTAGGTCTCCCCCAGAGTGCCTAAGGTACTTCATTAATATAACTTCCTTGTTTTCATGTGATGCTAGGCTGAATGAAACGAGTTGATTCAATATTCTCTTACAAGGCTGTGGTTTTTTTTAATTTTCTGGATCTCTATCCCCACTCCCACTCTTCCATTTGAAAATCCTTGAGTCATTTGTGTAAAAGCATTGCCAGAACCAATGGGTTTCAGTGAAACATCAAAACATGGTGAAACACATTACTAAGACATTCTCATATGAAAGGACTCCACCAGTACAAGATAAGGAAGTTTTACAATCCTTCTGATGCAAAATCAACTTTGAATTTCTCAACTGTTTTTTACATTTGATACACAAACTCTTCATACATTTTGTAAGCATTTGCCACCTCTCTCTGAGAGATCTTTATGAATGTTGGTCATTTAGTAATTCTATTGTTTCCCTGTTATTTTCTTATCTAATATATTTTTAAACCATTGGGCAATAAATATGATCAGTAAGTTAATGATATACAGTTGACTTGCATAACATGTGCCAAATTTTTTTAGTCATAAAACAATGTTATAATTCAGTTAAATATTATCCCAAGACACACAGGGTTGAAAGTCACTGCTTAAGCAGAAGCCATATTTCCCTTAAGCTGCAGATTCAGAAAGTGAGGTTCTAAAACCATCTTTCAGAGGGATGTATGTAAATACAGCTTGGTCAAAGACCCGTCATGACCAATACTAGACAGTTAAAGTGATTATTTTCCAAGTGAAAGCTTAGGTAGTAATATAGCCCATGAATAGACTCACATATTTCTGTGTGTTATACTGCTTTGCTCTGGTAGATACTCGGTCATCCATAGGAAATGGGTGCCAACGTGGTGATGGCTCCTCTGCTCCACCTGGAGAAATGTGCATTTCTGCCAACCAGTGTGGAGAGAGCAGTGAGGAGAAACAAGGTAAGTCTGAGTGGGCTTCAGCATAAGTGTGATGTTTTGATAACTGAACATGTCAGCAGAGAGAACTACGGAGGATTTCTTTTAATGTTTCAAAAATATCTGGGAATTCTTTTTTGTTTTGGTTTTTTTTTATCCTCTTCTTCATTTAATTTTTTAAGAAAGTTTCTTCCAGCTCCAGTTTGATTTTTTCTGCTTAATTTTCAACATCTGTAAAGTGCAAGTCTCTCATAAATCTTCATATGGATATTTTATAGCAAAGCGTTTCCTAATCCAAATTCAATGGAGATTCAGCAAGTAATACCTTTTTCCTTAATTTGTGATAGATTTGTTTGATAGAATTCAGGTTTAATACAAGATACCTAGAGGTATTATATTACATACCTAGACTGAGGTATAAGCAACAGCAGGTTTTTGGTTTTGTTGGGTTTTGTTTGTTTGGCTGGTTTTTTTGTGGTTTTTTTGTTGTGTGGTGTTTGGTTTTGTTTTTTTTTTAAAGTCTAGACAAGAGTAGAAATTTTCTTGAATTCAGGAACTGATTATCCTGGCTTAATCTTTGTCACATTCAGAGGTTACAAAAGCAGTAGCTGCTATTTCCTGTAAAGAATTGATCTAAACAGTGAGGGTGCATTCTAACTACTACTGTCTGAGTAAATTAGTATCAGAATTCTAGTATTTCCAGAATACTGTACTACAAAATGATGCTGCAAATAATTTCATATGATGCATCAAATCAGGTTTCTCCTGTGACAAGTGTGATTTTGAAACCAATCTATGCAAAGCTCTTCATGAATTTAATTTACAGCCTGGATGGATAAGTAGTCCTTCTCCTTGATAATTCTGGTTCTGGAGTCCAAAGAAGAGCCTAAATTTATGAAAAAATTTAATTCTGCCTAAACAGCTTATATAAGTTCTTTTAATCACTGTACAACAGAGGAAGCATATTTGTTCGGATTTAAACATTTTGTTGTAATTATGAAATAGATTTTCGATAGATGAGCCTGTGTCTTTCTGTGCTCTTAGAAAAATGCTAATGAGATCATGTCAGATACCACTGAATTCAGCTGAAATCTGTGAGAAAGAGCAGTAACTTTAATCCAGATTCTTCAAATTACAATTGTGTGCCCACCTACACAAAGTTTTTCTTCCTCCGGTAGGACTCTGTGTTTTACCCAAACAGTATGCGGAGATCTGTTTGGTGAGGAGTCTAGAGTCAACTCCAGGAGAATCTGTTTTTTATTACTCTGCAAATAAGACAATTGTTAAGATTGTATTGGATATCTTTACATTTTTGTAAGTTAATTATGCTGTACAAGAATGTATTAAAAGGCAATGGCTGGAAATTACGTCTGTTTAATTTCCTGACGTATCTAACATGTCTCAGATTAATGAATTTTTTTATCATTTACACAAGAGATGGTGCTAAGTTTCACTGCATAGCTTTGAAATCCTCATTGTGCTTGGTCTTGGTTCCCCTGGAAAGGACATTACCTCCAGGCATCGCTTTTTGTTATAATTGTAGAATATAGAACAAGAGATGCATTCTTCCATTAACTTTTACGGAGGCTTTTTGCACCTGTTTGTCGAGGGAATACTGCTATAGACAATGCTTATATGAAAGTAAAGAATTAAAGGTTGTTCCAAAGACTAATTTAGAAAAATGAGCCTATGGGCTCTGTAAAAAACCTAAATATTAAACTACTCTGTATTTTATTCGGACTGAGGAAAAGCTGTAGAACTAGGCTTTGAGAGACAGGCTGTGTGCTGGGACTGCTTGGATAATGCTCTGGATTACTCCAGGAGATAAGTCACCTGTCAGATATAAAGATACAGATCAGGCTGTATCAAATTGAAGATTCATCCTGCTGCCATTTTCATCTGATTTGGGATTACTGCAAAACTATTTTTCCACTTAGGTTTCAGCTCCTGATCTTATGTTGATGACAGATTCCTGCTTTTTTCTCTTGGCTCTACTCGCTTTTAAGGAAGTATCTGCAGTGAAAATATATAAAAGATGTAACTTCAGTTTTTATACATATGCACACTTGAAATAGAACCTTAAAATATAGTCTGTTCCTCTGAGACCTGGAATTTTTCCTTAGAGTTTATTTTAAAGATTTGTTTTGTTCACAGGAAATTCTGCAAATATTATCTAGAACATCCCACACATTCCTTCCTACTGGACTTTTCCTCTCTAAGCAGTAAATTTACATTTGTCAATCTAACTTCCAGCAAATTTGCATTGGTTTGCTTCCCAAGTTAAATTTTGTGTAAAAATGTATACTGCTTCGGAAAATAATAAAGAATGATCAAGGATTTATTTTTTTAGTTAAAAAAGGTACCACTCCCACTATTTTGTGAACACTGATTTACAATTTTTTTTTCAGCTATGAGAAAATTCCTGAGGAAATATGGAATATGGTTTGGTACATTTCATGCAATGTGAAGCAGATATGCTTCATCAGTGTTTGTGCTTTTGATGAACCACTGGCACTTTTCAGCCACTTAAAGAGCTAAGGAATAAAAACAGCAATAAGAGTTGGTTGATGAATCAACCAATCTGCACATTAAATTGAGTCTGGAATGCTTACATGAATTATTTTTTGTTTTCACCTCTCTCACCTTGTGATTGATTGTTTCAGTAAACTGATGTGAATATGAAAGCCATGAAGTTGAACATCACAGTGTGACTATAAATGCTGCAGTGGCAACTTTATTTAAAACTATTAGTGAACTATGACAATATAGAATAAGCTAAAAGCATTTATAGGGGCCTGGAGCAAGTACCAATTTGAGAGGTAGTGCTATAAGGCGTTGTAGCTTCTGTCTAACCAGAATCACAATTATAAGGCGGGGTCTAAACCCATCCTCCTCTGCTGTGAAAGAGAAAAGGTGGGTGAAAGTTTCCACACAGCACATGAAATCTGGAGACAGTACCAGTTTTGGTTTTTTTCCACTGCCCTGTTACTCCTTTTTCATGATTTTAAAATTCTGGGGTTTCTTGCTTTTTTTCAGGAGTCTGTTCAGAATTTTCCTGTTTACTAATTAGACAGCAAGTAATGGTGAAAAACATATCCTTTTGCTTCTGTTTTTGAGCTTTTAATTTTTTATTTGTTTGCTCCAATTCAGGTTCCTCCTGTGACAAGTGTGATTTTGAAACCAATCTATGCAAAGCTCTTTATGAATCTAATTTACAGCCTGGATGGATAAGAAGAAATGGTCAATCTGGCATAGGACCACCATATTCTGACCACAGTGGGAATGAGAGCGGTAAGAATCATCAGATTCTTTGCAGAAACCATGGACTCTTACAAACTATGTAGTTTTCTGTTCTATTTACTTAACTTTGCTATTTTATTGATAGTTCAATTGTATTCTGCCACAGAGGACTTGTGTCTAGGTTTTCAGGTAATTGCAATTGCAGAGAACTAGAATTTAAAAAAAAAAAAGAAAAAAAACCCAACAACCCCCCTCCCCCCCCGCCCCAATATTCCAGTAAGCAATTCTTGTTCTATAGAGGAGCAGGTAATCAGTTATAAGAGTAATGTTTATCTACCTGAGTAATCTTTATCTGTTTTGGAGACATGAGGTCAGTCTTGATGATTGTAAAGTTTAGAAATGTTTAGATGCATTTTCAGTTTTTCTTAGATTGGTGAATGCCTGGAGTGTGTGTATCTATTATCTATGGCTAATATTACTGCTCCAAATGTTTTGAGAGAGGATGGCTTTGTATCTGGGGACAGGGTAAGCTTTGATGGCCTGTTTGAGCCAGTTTCTTTCTAGATCTTACTTCAATTCCATTTTGCCTCGAAGACTGTCTCTCAACTAATTCCTTTTCTCTGCCCTCAGACAAAATATATCCCTTATACTTTTCCTATTGCCAGGTTAATCCTGCTTTCTGAAACCTGTCTTCTTCCTTCTGTAATACATGATTTTCTTCATAACATTTTAGCTAACTCGAGCCACTTTTTTTAGCTGCAGCAAGCTTTCTCCTGCTTTCCAAAACTATTGGAAGGCTTGTTTGTAAGCAAGCAAGTAAAGAGGGAAAGAATAGATGGTGATTTCTGATCCCATGGTAAAGGCGTGAGCTGGTTGAACTAATAACTGTTTAGTTCTCTTCTCCATATTTTCTGTTATTCTCTTTCCCTTCCTCTCCACCTTCTCCCTCCCACCTCTCCTGGGTACAAGCAGTGCTTTGACAGCCTGCAGCGCAGATATCTGAAGACAGTACAAGCACTTAACTTTATGTGGGATGCAAATGTTGTTGTGAGACTGATTACCCCAGGCGTTTTACACTTCTCTTCCAAAATGTGCTTATCTGGGACTGTGGAAATCTGTGCTGTTCTAAGGTAAGCAGCACTTCCTACACATTGCATAAGCTTCCAAACAGGTAGAAGTTCCATGTAATGATGTGTATGAGTTGGTGGTTTCAAGATTAATGTGTGGAAGACGTGCTTAGAAAACAAGCAGATGAAAATGTAATACAACCTTAAATTATTCTCACTGAAAAAGCAGCAACAAAAAACCCCACTCTGCATTTTCCTGCAAGTTCTTATTTCAGAGTAGACAATTCTCATGATGCTTTGTAATTAGGAAACTTTATACATGTGATGTGCTTTTTAACAACTTCAGGTTTTACTTGTGTGTAGCACGGAAGCACATCCTGCTCTGTGCGCTGTGCTTCTGAAAGTAAGTTTACCCTTAAATAAATATTGATTTAAACTGATGTTTGATGTAAAAAATTTGAGCAATTACCAAATATTTTCATAAATGTAAGCTTTATTTCAAGTATGTAAGTTGTGAAATTATTTATCTTTAAAATAATAACAACTCTTCTCATCAAGAAGCACAATTAAAACAAACAAATGAAAAAAAAAGTACAAAAGTACCAAGGAATACAAATACAGCAAACTCTTGTCTGGAATCAAACTTGGTTAACCAGGCAACAGTCTTGCTCTACTTGAAGCTTCTAGGATTTGTGCATGATTGGTAGTACACACCACATCAGGATGTAGCAAAGACCAGAAAGATACTCTTGCTTATAAGCATAAAAAAGGTTACCTTATCTTGCAAAGAGCTGGTGGGGAGGAGAAAATTTAACTTACACAGACAGTGAAAGCCAACAAAAGATTGAGAATCACCAACCACTTTGTTACTGACGAATCAAACTGCTTGGTCACCTGAACAGTCATATTTACTTGTTTTGGGCGCTCAGTCACTGTTGTATCTTCCATGTCTGAACTGTGTGGTAGCCATGTTAACCTAAGTTATTTTATTTGGGTAAAAGAAAGCTCAAATACTTGTACCTATTCAGCTTTCTGAGAGGCTGTTCACTCAGATATGTGAACTGAATGACTAAGGAGATTTAAATGCATTTAAGTAATTTGGTTTTCTACCTGGAGAATGTCTAAACTGTACTTTCCTGGTGCTGATGGTGCTGATAACCTGGGAAATAGTTATCTTCTTATGGCAGTTAGTTGAGGTTTTTCCATAGCTGGTGACACAAAAGAATATGTGATCAGTTTTATGTGTTCTCCTGCTTAAAACCCAGAAGCGATTCTGTGTGGTGACAACTGAGCAGAGCGTGCTCTGTGTCAGAGTGTTAAAGGGAAGAGTTCCTGACATCAGAATAATACATGCACATTAGCAGAAGAGCAAAGATCACTTGGTAGATGTAACTCCTTTGAAGGTTTATGTAATCATTTACTAGAACCCCACATGGTTTTTTAGTGTTATCTCTCCTGGTTCTTTTTTCTTTTCACTGAAAAAATAGTCAAACAGACCAGTGACAATCATTTAAAAGAAAATCACAAACCAAAATAAGACACAACATGTTTTTACTAGATGAAACTCTTATCTATGCAGAGGTCTAACGTGAAATCACTATTCAAAGAAGTTCTTAAAATTATTATTTCTCTTCTACATATGTAAAACTTAAAATTCCTGTGGCAGGTGAAAAATAAGGTTTTGAGTCTTAGGTACATTTCTCTTTAGGCAAGTAAAAGAAAAATTTCCAAAATTTATGGAAGTTAACATCCAGTGGAACAGATTGGAGTTAGGGACAGGGCTCTGCAGAGGCACCAAGCCATCTGTTGTGGGTAGGAAGAATATCCTTGCAGCTGTCAGGCTCTGAAAGTGCTGCCTGAGCAGTCACAAAAGGTCTAAAACCTGGGGGGAGCATGGACCTGGTAGCTCTGGTAGCAGGCTGCAAAATGCTATTCTGTGGGGGATTGCTCAGCTGGCTCCAGCACTGAGCTAGGCTTGTGGTTCTTGGTCAGTGACTTTGCAGTTGCACACAAGGATGAAAGGTTAAGATGGGTGATTTAATAAATGAAGCATTTAGATGTTCTGATATTTCCTCTGATATCTGGTTTCTGAAGTTATCTTTATTTCTAGGACTTTTTTTTATTCCTTGAGTCCCACTTGGCTTTTTTCCTTCTTCATCCTCCTCCTTTCATTTACATGTTAATGTCAGAGAGTTACAGTTTACTTGATGTTGCTTGGAGTTTGGGAAGCAGGAGAAAAGGAATTAAAAAAATTTAAAAGGAGATTGAGCATTTTTTATTCTTTATTTTTCCCCTTGCATCCTTTAACATCTAATATCTCTGAAACCATCATGTTCAGGAAGAGCCAAATTTCGACTAGCAGTATTTGTTATCCTAAACTATGATGGTTGCCTTCCATTTTTTATAAGATCTAAAACAATATTGTCAGGTAGAGACATGATCAGTCAAAAAGTATGGCAACAACCATATTTCACTGACACTTGTTGATCTGTTACACTTCAAGGGAAGTAAGGACTTGTTTTATAAATGGAAAGATAATAGTATTTTTAATGGTAGCTTTAAAATTCTGAAGACAATTGTGTATCTTGGGAGTGTGTACAGGGATACCACAACCTTCTCTTTGCAGTGAGGCAATTTTCTGAGAAATCAAAAACCAGACACCTATCAGAACACCAGAAGAACCTATAAGGTCACCACAGTCTCTCCCATTTTCCAGTACCTCCTTAAAGACTTGAACAGTCATGATAAATCTATGATTAATCTGTGTAGTTAGTTGCAGCAGTTTGATGTTTAGGCATGGAATATGTGATCTATTCAATAATTGGGATTTAAGGTCTCTGACCAGCTTGTTGAGTTAGTCTCCCTTTGTCCCAAAATTTTGCACTTCAAAGTCAAGTATGCACCAGGAAATGAAGCATTTTGGAACCCTACTTAAAATTTTAGATGTAACATGGAGCATAATAATAATAATAACAAATAAACAATATTTGATGTGAAAAAAAGCTTGGTGTACAATGGCTGCAAGTGTTAATCTTTTCTGGGGAAAAAAAATCTGGTCAGCTTTTTAGTTATTAATTTATACCTGTATATGCTCTTCTTCTTGTTTTGTTGTTTTTTAGGATTTTTCTCAAGCTTCTAAGTTTTCTGTTTTTATTCCTTTTAATAGCTTATTTCCTCTCGTTGTTCCCTGAAATGCAATCCTCTTCTGCAACTTTAAGGACAAATGTTTTCCTTCCAACTGATGAAGAACATATCTGCCAGGTATTTTGGTGCATAGTCTTTGTATTACATTGTTTATCATAGTATTTCCCTAGAATAATCAAACTTTTTTTTGTCCTAGATTAGATTTCGTTACTGGGTCAGCGGAACATTGATGGTGGGGCTTCAAAAGCACTCTGAAGACACTGTTACAAATATCTGGCAAGTTTCAAGAGAACTACAGAGTCAGTGGAAAGCAAATACCATAACAATCAATAGCACCGAAAAGTTTGAGGTAAGTAAATTGAGGTTACTGTAAATGACACTTGTTAAATGGTTTCTACATTGTGGGTCTCTTTAATAGGTTAAAACTAAATATTTCGTAAATGGAAAGAAAGCTTTGTCATGAGGTAAATAAGAGAAAAGCCATTTGGAAGATACTACACAGCATTAAAAAATACTGTTTGTTCTTATCTCTTAATGGTGTTAAAACTAATACCAAACTTTTCTTAAACTATGCATGTGTCTTAAATAAAACAATTAGTGTCTTTGAGTCATAATTATTTCCCAGCCCTTAGAGGTGATACACTGTTGATCTTAACTTTCAATACAGTATTCCCTTAGCCTCAATCTAACTTTACTGATAAATTCAAGGTTTCATTTATATAAGAAACAGCATTTTATACTATAAGATACTGTTTTACAAGGATGTTTTGCAATGCAAATGTCATAGGCTATTTAAATGTTTTTATATGTGCATTTACAAAAAACATTAGTACAGTAAACCTAACTTAAGGCTATAATATTGTAGATGATGTGTACTCACTGTTGAGCATAATACTGGCAAGGATGTGGGGAGTAGAGAAAAAAATGAGAGGGCTTTCCTTCTACAGCAGCTACTGTGAAGTTGGTTAGCATACAAGCCTGAAGGCATGGAAACATGACCTCATTTCAGTAAACCATATGAGTAACATAATTACTTGACTTGCATGTTGTTTTAAAGCATCCAAAGGATCTGAATTTTTGAAGCAATTACAGTAATGCTAAACCAAACTCAAAACAATGTTATTGTTGTTCAGTATATGAGCAGTCCAGCTGTAAAAAGGCATATGTCAAACTTACTGCAGTAATCATTACAATTGGCTCAAGAAATACAGCTCAGCACCTCACCAAACCTAGAGTCTGAGCAAAACTTCTTCTTTGCACATTTTTGCTCCAGTGAAAATTTGCAAGACGTCACTGTCATACAAGTGGATGCAATTCACTTGCCCTTTTGCACTTTTTCTTTCTATATGACAAGATGTTCAGCCTACAGGGAAATCTGTGGAATTTTTCAAGATAAAATGTTATTAAAGTTTCTATGGAAAATAATTATGAGAAACAAATAATTTTTATTTGGGTGTACAAATCTTTTGGCAGTAGGGTGCTATAATGTTTTTGTCTATTTTGCAAACACACTTGAAGTGGTTTTAATTAAAATCAATCTCTGAACCTCCAGTGCTTCTTTTTTCCTCATTTTGAAGTTAAATATTTAATAGCCAAATACTTTGACTCTTCCTACTAAAAAAAAAAAAAAATCTCTTGATTATCTTTATGGAATAAGAGATTTTGTTTCAGCATTTAAAAATCTCCAATTTAGGAAATTCTGAAACACAAAGATTGTCAGTGCTTTAACTACTCAACACAAGGCAAGCTCATATGGCTGATTTGGATGGGTTTTGGAGAACTGTATCATGGTTTGCTCACCTAAGCTACTTTTCCTGTGTTCTATCGAGAACAAATTTCTTTCTCCAAGACTTCATTAAGAGAAATGGTTCTAGGCTTGGGGTTCACTGGTTGAACTTTTTTAGACACAAGAGCAGGTGGAGGCATCTAACATTATTTTCTTCTGGAAGGGGAAGTTAAGACAAGACTCACTGTTCGTGAGCTTTGCGGAAACACAGGTCAATACAGCTCCACCAGAATGTGCTCTAGCAGAAGACGAACTTGAAGCAGTCTCTGATTTTGTACCAGCAAAGTGAGATAGCCCCTCTTTCACATTGTCTAAATCACTTTATTTCACTTTAAAATAAAATCTGACTGTGAAGCCCAACTGCAAGCTGTATTATACAGTTTAATACATATTATAAATGAAGTTATTATAACTGAATTTTGACTTCAAAATGAAACATAACTCTGAAAAGGTTAAATATTTGTCAAATCTTTGACATTAAAAATAGTTCTTATATTTCTAATTATAAAACAGTGCTCTATATTGGTTAAGAAACTCATCTGAAACTGCGTAATGATTGAAACAGAAAATATGAATACACTGTCCTTCTACTGGTGATGCCATGAAAGTACATATCAGTGTACATTAGTATCACTGCAGCAGAATTCAGGTGTTTAAAATATTGTTTTCTGAAACAAATCAAATGAGCAAATTTCCAAGATGCTGAAACATATTTTTGCATGCGATATGGCTGCTATGCTTCTTGTGCAAGCCAACTGCAACTTAAGGAAAACAAATTACCAAAACACAAAAAATTCCACCCCTCAAAAAAACTCCAACTTGTAACATAATGGTCATATCTTTAGATAAGTTGTATCATCTTGTACAGTGAAATACTGTATTCTTGGCAATTCATAGAATAAATGCAGGTTTTCTGCTACAATCTGTTTAACTTTGCAGAAAATCATTGCTGAACTCTCAAGGTAATATTTGAAAAAAATATTGCTAACCCTGTGCATTCACTTTTAAGAGCTAGAATGTACACCCAGCCAAGACTATGGAAAATCCTGGAGCTACAATATCCCAAGATTTACCTTGGGAATAATTTTTGGAATGTTATCCATAAGATTGATATTTCTGGGGGGTTGTTTTGGTTGGTGTGCTTTTTGTTGGGTTTTCCCAAGGACTGTGGTTGATCAGCCAGTTCCCCTTGTACATCACTGCAGAAAACCTGTAGTAGCCTGTACATTTACAAATGTAGATTGAAATCTGCCCTTAAGATGAAATGTAAAATATTTGTAACTTCTTGTGTAGAGAAGACTTTTTTTAGGGGCAGAAAAAAAAAATCACTGTTGTAACATTAGAGCAGAATAACTGTTGACCAAGTACTCCTCAAAGTTTGTTTTGGCTAAAAACTTGATGAAAGGCATCTGACTAATGGTATTTGTTGATCTGACTTTGCTCCAGGTCTCTGATAAATTAGGAAACGAACCATAAAATGTTCACATTTCCAGTCCCTGGTGGAATAGTGGCTAGATAAAACACAAAATCCTTTGTGCTCCAATCTTTAACTGTCACGATTCTTGCTTTGATTTAAGGCATTTTAATGTGATTTTCAGATCCTTCCTGTTAAAAGCTACTTCAATATTGAGTAAGAAAATTAGTATATATATCTGTGCTGACAAGCCACCTAAGTGTGAAAAAGACAGGATGGTAATCTTAAAAAATTGTTAAGTGTTTAATCTGAGTTCTCATAGTTCCAATATAAACTCCGTGGACTAGGCTGGCATATATTGTAAGGTGTTTCATCTTGTCCATGACACTGGTAAATTCGATTTCTTGTTGGTTTGCTGCTGATCTCTTCAGGTTATCTTTTGGGGGATGGTGGATGCCCAGAGACAAGATGAAACTGTTGCCATTGATGATATTACTTTCAGTGAAGGATGTTCCCTGGCATGTGGTAAGAATACCTGTTTTTTCAGGAGACAGGTCATTTTACTTTGTCCTTTCCTTAGATTTCCTTAGAAAACACAGTGGAAATACTTTTGCTCTTCAAGGGCTTTCTTAACTCCAAAAGTGTTTTCATCTGGCTCATTTTCATCTCCCTGAACAATCATCTGTCTTTTCACATCTAAACACAAAGACAATAAATGCTTTAAGAAATCTGATACAGTATAAATGTGGGGCTCAGTGGGCAGAAAAGGTCTACTGTTTTTGGCCAAAGAATTGATGTGTTCAGCCAGCTCAGGAAAAGCTTTGGAGCTGACTTTAGGAAGATTCCCAAGGCACTTGTGTGTATTTCTAAACGCATGGAGGTCCTGATCCTCAGCTGTGCAGCGGGGCTATGTTGTTCTGCTCTGCTGCACCCAAGAGTTGTAATGTCAGGCCAGTCATCTCTCCAGTCAGACCATCTCTGCGTGTCAGGATTCTTTAGCAAAACATTTCCTATTTCTCTTTTCAACCCAATGTATTTTCATGGGAAAGGAATACTAGCCATCCTAGCATAAATTAAATTGCTTGCTGCTCTCTACTGCCCAAGAGTATTGCCCTGTGCACCCATGTCACATCCTCAGTTGAGCACAGTCAAAGCACCTCTTTTGTTTTTCTTCCTCTTATTCTTAGCACACACTCTGAGGTTTCAGACTTCAAACTTAACTTCAGGTATGGAAGCAGTGTTTGACACAGACCAAACTAGGTTACATGATTAGGTCTGTGTGAACTGTAATCCAAAATAATGCTCTCTGTATTTCCCAGTAGGAAAAAAAATACTGAAAAGAGATACATGTGATTATTAGCATGTCAGAGAAATGAGCAATTTCAGGCAGATCACACTAAGAGCAAGATACAAGTCTTGAATTAATGATGCAGGCAGGTATACCCTTTTATTTCAAAGGGGGTCTATATGGGGGAAATGAAGTTTCATGTAACTAAACTTGATCATGTCAGTTTCTCCATGCTGCAATTTTCTAATACGGAGAGATATCGAAGTAAATGCTATATAAATAGATTTTCATGCCAGGGCACAGCTTCCTTTTCTATTTTGTAGATGTTTTCCAGCTTTATTGCTTAAATAAGCAAGGACATTAATTTAAAACTTCAGGCATGCCAGTCTGTGAACTCAGAAAAGAGTGCAATGCACTTTCTCTGAAAAAAATTATTTTGAAATGGAATTTGAAATCTGTCCCCAGTGTAAAGAGGACAGATGTGACTTTTTTTTCCCCAGCTTCTTTCTTTTCTTTCGAGGATTTCTGGAGATAAAATGGTGGTATAAAATGGAAAAAAAAAAAAAAAAAAGCATTGCTTAATTCTAGCAACCTGTGTAATTGTTTAACCAGTTCCTGCAGGAGGATATAAATCTGTCTGTAAAAATATATTGACTTTTTTAATAAACAATGTTAAAGAAAAAAAATTTTTAAAATAATAAGCTATAGAGATGAAATACTGTCTCGAAGAGATAGAGGAAAAAAAAGGAAACAGAAACACATATACTCACCAGAACTTATAAATCCAGGTCTTAAACTTACCTCACACGGCAGGTGTTGAACTATATATTATGGCTTACAGATTGAGCTGGTGCACGGTTGAGTACCTCAAGAATATTCTAACAAGAGCCAGCTCTTATCCTGTGTTTCTCCATTAGGAAAAGTCAGCTTCATTAGGTGACTTCTAAATGGCTCACAGCAGCCAAAACCAGGGTCAAAGGATCTTAATTTCGTCCCTGAGAGAGGAATGTTACTTCTGAATATTTTCCAGTAATTAAAACAAAAGGTCAGACTAATGGTTGGTTGAATTTAAAATCATTTTTTTCTCTAGTCCTTGTGGAATGTCTGGATAAGTAGACTTTTAATGAAGACCATTTCAATTGCATGAAATTCCTAGTTAAAACTTGCATTTTTAATATACCTTTCATTATTTTAAATCCCAATGTAAATGCACTTAAGAGACAACCTGTGCATTTGTATTCATTAGTATGACTGTAATTTTAGGGCCATGAGTAAAATATCTTAAATTTTTGTGCTTTCAGGTCCTTCTTGCTAAAAACTATGATGGTGAAATATAAATGTAATTTCATTATGCTTTAAGTCTTTTCTTCACTTCTATTCCTCCCCTGTCTCCCAACCCCTTTCAGTCTGTTGTCCAGTACCACTAAAGACTAAACTTAATGCATTTTAAAAAATAGAACCAAAACTCTATCTTCAGTACTTTAATTGAAGATACTCTACAGTTTGTAGTTTTCCCAAAAGCTGCCAAATAGCTTGTTATGCCTCAAAACCCCCATAGCTCTTTTTTATACAACTGCGTATGGACTGCAGAAAAAAAAATTAGCTCTCAAACAGAAAATATTAAAGTTATTATCTGAAACATACATAACACAAGAACTCCTTTAATTATACCTTTAGTAGACCTTTTGTTCAAAGGCCTCATATTCTTATCTAAGTGGCTGCTCTGCAGAACTCCCTCTCAACTCCCTAAGAATTATATATGTGAAGAGCCCCATTAAGGCTGTTCCTCTGATCTCTCCAGAGACATGAAAGTGGAATGCTATAAGGGAGTAGGAGACTTTAGTCCTCCTTAAGTCACTTGTAATGGAGAAGTTACACAGCCTCTTTGTGAAGTTGTGTTGTTTTTCAGGAAAACTGAAGTAATTAAATAGGTATTACTCATAATTTATAAATTTTGACAAAAATCCAATATGAATACTTCAAGTGACAAAATCTCAAACTTAATTCCCTTGTTAATTATAAACCTGCAAAGATGTAGCCTTTAATATTACAGGCACAGGTCTTTGAGATGAACTGCTACAGGGATGGGAGTCAGAAAATCCAAAATACTAATCTTTCTGTTGTCTGACATGCTATGGAATTAAGAGCTGGAAAATTGGTATTTTGTAAAAAATCCCAAAACATCAAAAATGTTTAAAACTAAAGTGAAGAAATGCAGAATGAGTAAAAATATTTTGTATTAATAATTCAAAAAGGTTTAAAGAACTTGATTCCTTTTGACTATACTTGTAACTTTTTATAAATGTTGAAATTTAACAAAATCCATCCTTTTTGCTTGTGGAGTTTTGCATTTTCCCTGAGATTCATCACGTAATACACATGGTTTGAAAAAAGTGCATATTTATGCATCACTGGAACTAGGAAGAAATGAAAGGTTTGTAGCACTAGCTGGACAGGCCAGCTCACTGAGATGTCAGTAATGTGAATAATACAGTGTCTCTGAGACAAAGTAGCATCTATCTGTAGTGAACTGAAATTGTTTTCTCCATGCAGTTAGGAATCTCAGTGTTTTATCTGAGATACCCTGATTGCTATTTAAAAGTCTGCCTTAACCAGGAGATTACCTTTCCCCCACAATAATGTTAAGGGAATATCAAGGGAGACCTTATCACACTCTGCAGCTAACATGAAAATAAATTGTAGCCAGATGGGGTTAGGTCTCTTCTCCCAGCCAGCCAGTGGCATTACAAGAGGACACAGTCTTAAGGTGCACCAGGGGAGGTTTAGGTTGGACATTAGGAAGAAGTGCTTCACAGAAAAGGTGATTGGGCATTGGAATGGGCTGCCCAGGGCAGTGGTGGTGTCACTGTCCCTGGAGGTGTTTTAGAAAAGACTGGATGTGGTACTTAGTGCCATGATCTAGTTGACAAGGTGATGTTGGATCGTAGATTGGACTTGGTGATCTCGGAGCTCTTTTCCAAACTAGCTGATTCTGTGATTCTGTGATTAAGAAATGGTACATCCATTATCGTATTGCAATCCTTCTTAAAATCCTGGCCACTGTTAAAGGCAACTAGATTAGTCAGGCGTGTCATGCCCTTAAAAAACTTCTGGAAAATATGTGGTGATGTATTCAGAAACTTTTTGTCTCTAAAAAGAAGAATTCTTTTACAAGAATTTTGGAGAAGCTGCTGAGTTTAACCTCTCAGTTAGAAGTGATTTTTATGTAGCTATCATCTAGAAAAATAAATAGGTATTTCTTATTATGACATGTAATTTTTTATGTTACCTGGCAACTCTCTCTGTGGAAGTGAATTCACAAAGTTACAATGACTGGCTACCATAAATAGCACTCCATTGCTTTGAAAGAAACATCCATCCTGAGGGAATGATTTTTTAGAATGGTAAAGATGGCAGCCTGAAATACTGGGGAGCAATCAGGGATACACAATGCTTTTGAAGTAACCTTTTGAAGAGGCAGGAATGTTGTCAAGTAGTTTAATAAGCATATGTTTCTAATGGGAAATAGGTTCATAAATAATGACTTAACAAGTTAAGTGATGGCTTTTCTTTGTCTTTAAGCACCACAGATTTCCAGTTTTGAACTTGACATATGTGAGTGGCATTCTGACCAGCTGGCTGAGCCTGCTCAGTCGGCATTGCTGCAAGCTGAGCACAAAATTGCCTCCTGTTCTTTCCTGAAAGATTGGAGCAACAATACTGAAGGTAGGAATTAAAGTTAATTCAAAATTACTAACTGTCATGAAGAATATGGTGCTTTTTAGGGCGAAATGGTGACCCAAGGCTGAAACAGAACAAAACTACAAAAAGTAATTGTATGCATTTTGTATTTAAATTAGCTTTTGATTGGCCATTTAGTAAGAGCACTGTGAACACACATGCTGGTAAAACATGAAATATTTTAACCTGAGAATTAATGAATATTTTCAAGTATTCATGAAACTTTTTAATGTAAGAATTCCATTATAAACAGATTTATTCTCTGGTTAATTCTCTTTATGAGAACTGTGTAAGAATTTGGTGAAATTGAATTAAATCCACTTAAGTCAAGTCCTTGTGTGAGGATTTTTTTCTGTTTTGTTCTGATTTTGATACTTGGTAGGTTTACTTGTGTAGTACTATTCTGAACATATAGTCAGGAATTTCATCTTAAACCTTATATTAGGGGAACTGTACAGAAACAATTATTGCACAAAATAGTTTCTTCCTCTTAATTTAAAGTAAAATTTGTCAATAAAACTTGTCCAGTTGCAATTTTCAGAAGTAAAGAGAATTTCTTGTTTCTGAACTGTGTAGTGCGTGTTTTGAAAGCTTAATGGATGTAACTCTCAAAGTGTTCTAATGTGAAATAGAATCAACTTGCTAGGTGAGTGTTTGGCTTTTCTACTGATACTACCTTCAAAGGGGTTAAGTGGGGCTAGTTGTAACAGGATAATTTGTGATGTAGCTTTGAAGGACTGATAGTGTGGAGATAACTGCTTGAACTTTGAACCCACAGAAATGGATCACATCTCAGTGATAGGAGCAGAACGAATGCTAGATATTGTTTTCATTTCAGAAAGATTTCTAAAATAAATTTTAACATGCATTTCAACATGGTCTAGTAACTGTAAATCAAATTATAATGGAATAGCAGACAAAAGTGCCTGAGTATATACATTGTTAAGATGAATTTTTGCATGTATGTACAATGGAAAGGATATAGACTAGCAAAGCGGACTTTTTTCTTTTCCTCCTTAAATTTGAGGAAAACAAGTCACACCATCTTCCAATTTCCAATTAGACTTTTAATTTGATTTTATTTGAAACACCTCCCTGAAAGGTACCATACTTTAACATGACATCTCAAGGGCTAGTAAAGGAAATGGATTTCCATTTTATGGCAATACTGATCTGACAAAAATGATCCTGAAATTCTGTAACTGGCTTTCGCAGGACTAGGTCTAGGAATAGACTAGCAATGTTCATGGAAACAGAACATATCTGGAAGTGTTTGCTCTGTAGGTGCTTGGGCATTATTGTATGAATATGCACAGATAGCTGCGTAGGCTGAACCTGTAACCCAAACAGCTGCTTGAGGACTTTCCCTGTGCTTCCTTGTCTTCAAGGAAAAAGTAAAATGTGAGAAGAAACGAGTGTCGAAACAACACATAGAATTTTATTCATCATTAACAATGAAAAGTGTTGAAAAATCTGATCTGTGATTGCTCACCTCTCAATACTTTCAGTATTTCTATTCATGCAGATTTGCTGAGGCATAAATGAGGAGGTTGAATATTAACTAAAATTCTGAAAACTAAAGAAATGGTATGCAAGCTGAAAAAATGCCATGCTTGAGGGCTCAAACTTGCAATGCAAATACAGCTTGACTAAGCTTTTTTTCTGATTTTCATCAAAGCTTTCACTTCTATAAATAGAAAGAGGTAAGAAATGAAATTATAAAGTCAAGGTCTACACAATTATATACATAAAAAAAGGATTGCTTATAGTCTTTGAATAATCCTCCTTTGCTGATATTCTTAAATTTAATAAAATACTTTCTGTCTTTGGATGACTTTTTTCCTTTGTTCCTTTATTGCTTCTTTCTCCAGTGTTGTAGACACTTTTTCTATCACTTTTCCTCTTAATTTCTCTAGTGTCAAAAGTTCTTACAGAAATTTTATATTGCCCTACAATACTGTTCAGAAAATACTTTTTTCTTCTTGTTTTCTTTATTGATATTTCATGCATGCTATGTAGTTTCCATAGTTCATGTTTACATTGGATTAAGCTGGTTTCCTACATCTAGGTAACACTTCTTTAGTAAGAAAGCAATGAAACAAATTCTGTGCATAAGAAAAATGAAGATGCAAAAAGAAATCAAAGGAAGCGCCAAGTTTTAAAATCCAGCATTTCAGATAACCAGTGATTAAAATCCCTCAAGTTAAAACATGGAAAAAAAAAAACCTCACAGTGAAATCATTAGATTATTTGATTCTATTTCATTACCTTTTTTCTCTCTCTTTTCTTTTTTTTTTTTTATTCAAAGATTTTACCCAGGATTTGTGAGTTCATGAAAATTCACTTTCAAGAGTAGAAATAATGACAATTTAGGTCTTTTTTCCTCTAAATGGTTGAGTGGGAGGATTGCTGCAGGACATTTGTTCAGAGACTGAACAGGTCTCTGCTTGGGAAAAGAACTTGTCAGAAAACAAAAAATCCCACTCAGTGGCTCAGTTTAAACTCAAGGCTCAGTTTTTACTCAAAAACCAGTAGCACAGATTCAAAGCTGTGTCATTTGTGAAATAAAAATCCCATGGATTTAAGTGGGAGCGATGAGATTTGAGTCAGAATATGGTTAACATGGGATAAGTTAGCTAAATATTTATAGGTGTTTAGTTTTCAGCATAGCAGGATACTGGCAGGTTCACTAGCCCACCTCAGCTCCAAGAAGATGCTGGGCCACCTCAGCAGCAAATCTTAAGCTCTGCTTCTTATTTGAGCTCCAGTGTAGTCAGTGGCTGATCTTTCTGCAGGACTCCCAAGATTTTACTTACGACAGAAAAAATTCCTTCAAAATTGAAAGAAACAAGACTGTTTAGCTAAAACCTGACTAAGCAGCCATGTGGAGAACATAAAAAACCTGTTCTGCCTTTAAAAACAAGGCGAAGTTTGGCACTTCAGAAAGAGCAAGTTGGGAAAATTTAAGAGATCAAGTCACAAAGAAGGTTAGAGCATAAGCACAGTAATATGCTATGCAGTGTCTGCACTGAGGGAAATTCAGATCTTAAAGAAAAGGTACAAAGTTTGCAACAAATGAAAGAAAACTCTTCCCAATGCCTTATAATCATTAGAAAGCTACTTGATTAATGTTGCCTAAAAGTAATAATAATAATATAATAAAAAAAAATCACTGAAAGATGGGGCCATCGTTCTGCTTTTACAGGCTATAGAGAAGAGGGGAAAAAAATTAAAAAGTAAATTTTCAGTTTCTGTAGTCTTTATTTACTGAAGCTAGGCCTCAATTTGTCTCAGAAGCACTCACAATACTTGGGTAAAATGTGTTCTCTAAAGAACCCTTAGAATGCCTCTGGGACACAGGATCATTCTGGATGCTTCACAGAACTGTTTATCTAGTTCTTTTCACTTGCTTTCTCATCTAAAAACCATGTCAATTCCACTTTGCACTGTTTATAAAGATTCAGGAACTTGAAGAGGGAAAGGAATGTTAGTTATCCTTTGGCTCAGAAACTGAGTTGGTTTTATAATGGTATCAGAGAACACTGAAGTCAGATAAAGAAGCAGCAGCATAACTTTCAGTGTTGCTGCATATTTCTCTTATGCACAAGACAGTATAGAAGTGTAGATGCTTTGTTGATATCTGGCAAACAGAAAGTTGGGTTAAACCTATAATACTGCCTTACACTGAGGTTAGCTGGTGTGGCATGAAATTGCAAGCTTAATTCCAACAAAATTGCAACCATGTATTTCAGCGTAAATCATTGCCTAACACAAAGAGTAAACTGGCAACATAAGGAAAACAGTGTTGTCCTTTATAAAAATGAAAGTTTTCCTTGTGAAATAACACTTTCTTCCTTCACCTTGAGATATGCAATATCTGCATTTGAGATAAGTTTTATTTAGGAAATGAACACAGAAACTGCTGACTTGAGACCTTTAATCAGTTTTTGTTTACTATTTTAATAGTTGCTTCAGAAGGCAGCAAAACATTCAGTGACTCAGGAGATGGGGGAAAAAAAGAGCTGATATATTTCGTAAAAAGTATTTAGACTTTTTATTTCTGATAACTAAAAGACACTGTTGAGGGGATGGAGTACTCTTTTAGATCTCTGTAGGAATGCTTTTATAAGGGGCAGTAGGTCAAGAAGAGCACAAATTGCTTTTCTGCTTCAGATGGAAAGACAATATGCTTCCAACATTTTGTTGCAGAAATTCTGGCTGAGAAGTAAAGACCCTGATTACACGGTGGAGATGTGACTGCCTCTCATAGCAATAAGGCAGAATTCCTTTTTTATTTTTTAAATATTACTGTAAAAAGCATATTTTCTGGAAACCATAGTGGAAGTAGGCAAAAAGCCAAGTTTCCAAATATATTTGTCATTAGGTTACAATCAAATGGTTATAAAGGCTGAGCTGAATGTGGGACTTCTAATAGCTTTTAACATGAAAAGTAACAACTTTGAGATACTACCAATTGACACAATTTTTGATTGCTGGGGCTATCTATGAGTAAAATGAAGATATATATATAGATATATATATATATGTCTTTTTTAATAGGAAACAGATAACATCAAAGTAACATAAGCAGTATGATGATCAGATTCAATTCTTACTGGGATGCATCTATGGTTTAATTACTTGAAAGCAGTCCTTATTTTCATAAACTGAGAAAAAAATGTTCTGTGAAAACGTGACCTTTCTCTTCTTTCATTTTTCAGGCCGTTTTGAATGGTTAGAAGCTAATGACAATGCATTATATGAAAGTGCTTATCTAAACAACTTCATGTGCCATTGCTCCAGCAAGAATTGCCATTTTCAGTTTCATTACTCCATGGCAGATAGCAGTGTTCTCAAAGCAGTACTGTTTATTAATCAGGTAAGAAGAAACACACGTTCATTTCTAAAAGGTAAAGGTATGGCAACACAGGTGTTACTTGACAAAATACAAGAAGATACACCTGCTACTACATGCCTGCCCCCTGAATTAGTTTGGGCAAAATAGTACTTTGGTACCGTTCCACTGATCTGTGCAATTGCAAAACCTGGGTATTTGCCATCTCAGCCATAAACTAATTTGATGGGTGAATGTTCTGCAATAAGACTTCAAGGACACCCCCAGCTGTTACAGAATTAAATAAATTGGGGTTTTCAGGGGAAAAATCTATAGTAACAGCTTTTCTAGCCTTCTTCCTGTTCTGGAAATAAGAAAATAGGTGCTTGTATTTCTGGAGAGACAGAAAAAAAAGAAAGTTGTTGACTCAGGATAACTGGGAAGTTCCTGATTAGACACCTGATTTGTTTTGCCCAAGTTTTAGAGTAGTAATTTTCCTATTCTTTTACCTATTAGTAGACAAAACAGCCAAGTCAAACTGAAACACAAATCCCAGTGGAGCTATGCTTTTTCCATCTTTTTTACCTCCCTTGCCTTGTAGAGGCTTTCTGATGTTCTCTTTTAAAAGTTTGGTTTAATAGCTTAATACTGATGCTTTGTACTTCTACTTAATGAAAGCAAGAGCAGTAGAGCTGGTCTCATTAAGTTAATGGCTCTCATATCTTGATGTTGGAGTTGAATTCTTATCATCCAACAATACATTTGTATTTTAAAAGATAGATCTACTTCATTCACAAAGATAAGATGCTAAAAACCCCAAAGGGTAACATTACCAAGAGGTCTAAATATAGGAACAGGTAATTGAAATAATTTCTTTCGTTCTGACTCTGCCTTTGAGTATTCATGAAAACAACTCCAGGCTTTTGCTCCTATTTCATTTATAAAAGGGAATAGTTGTATTTTTCTATGACCCATTACTGTATCAGGGAATTGTAACATAATCAGTGTTCTGGTCAGAATGCATGGAGATCTGTGCCATAGTAATTGCCAATAAATCCCCAGGTATGACACTCATGGAAACCTCGAGAAAGAATCTGAATACTGATTTCAATGGTTCACCTAAAGTAGGATCAGTGCACCCAATTTAAGAGTTTTCTTTTCCTCAAAATAGAGCAAATTATGTGAGCCAAAACCATAAGGAAACTGACATTTGAGTTCCCATAGAAATGGGAGCTTAGATTGAACCAACTAATTTATAAACAGGTCCTTACATATGCATTAGAAGAATATTTCTGGTGGTTTTTATATCTGTGGTTTCCACAGATGTTCTTAGCCCTTTTAGTTATTTATTTTCACCTTCAGTCAGAAGTGTATTTATTGCACATAAAGTTATTTAAAACTGATGTAAAATTTGCCAGAACAACATTAAGAAACTTCTGTTGACAGTTTCAGAAACAAAACACCACAGACTCATATTTGAGATTTCTTAAACAGAAAAGAAGGGAGAATTGGGTTTACACATTTTGCTACTAGACCATTAGGTTGTTTATGAAAACCAAATGAACCTTCAAAGCTAGACAATACTGAGAAACAGAAGTGAAAGGCAAGTGCCCCTGGAAGGCAACAGAGCTGCTGTCTTGGAGGCTGTCATTCAAGATAACCTCTCAATTGTATGTTTCATGTAATTTCTCTGCACATCCTATTCCTGTATTTATTGATCAGAACAGCTTGTCTTTGAATAACTTTTGTTAAGTCCCAACACTGACAGGCCTGACACAAATGGAGACTGGATTACACTTAATGTACAGTTTTGCTACTGTTCTTAGAGAACAAACACCACAGATACTGCAAATGTGCCCCTGGCCTTCCTCGCTCTTTGAACAGAGAGAGTAAAGAAGAGTGAACGTATTTTCTAATATAGATATTATGGGAGAAAGGGACTCTAAATTGCTCTTGGGTTTAAGAAGGACAGGGAAAATGGACTTCTTTTGTCAATAGAAACCTATTGTTTACTTGCATTTAACCTGCAGTCCGTTATAATCTGCAGCTTTTCCTCTTTTATTGCTGGCTTGGCAAAGTTGTTCTGCATTAAACACGACTGCATTTGGCCATTTGATTTTTCTTTCTTAACTGTGATTCATATGTCTTTGAACTTTGTCTTATTGGTTTGAAACTGGGTCCTGTATACTGAGATGATTATAAATTGTAAAGATGTCCTTCAGAGTGCTTGTAACTCCTCCCAATTTAGTGTTATCCACATTGTTTTAAAATTTATTTGTCATTTCACTCTTCACACTCTCCAGTAAGTTCATCAGCATTATAATTATATCAAGACCTGGAGCAGACCTATGCAGAGCTCTGTTATAATTTTCTTTTAGTTTATAGAAAACTACTGACATCTCCTCTTTAAAATAATCTCACATTTCTGTTTGTACACCCATGTAATTTCATGAACACCAAATCTTCACTTTTTTTTAAAAAGAATGTCTTATGAGATTTTGCTAAAAGCCTTTATAAAATGAAGTAACCTCTACTTTTTCAAGCCTATTTATGATGAAAAAATCCACAAATATGACACTCACTGAATGCAACTCGATCCTCATTAGAAGCAGCTAACGTAGGTTTCTCACTTTCTAAATCTCTAGCTGCTTAAAAGATTGCCGTTAGTAAATTTTTCCTTTGTCTTAAGAGTTGTTCAGCAGCTTGGCTATAATTGCATAGTCTGTATTTTTCCCTTAACTGTAATATATGTTCTTTGTTGTCCCAGTTCTCTAGCTGTCCACACATTCTCCTTAGGTTCTCAAAGCTGGCTGTTGATAGTGAGATATTCCCTTCATTATGTAACCTTTACTTAAAACTTTCTGATTCCATTCCAGTTTCAGTACTTATGGCTTATAGATATTTGTAACATTATTCTTGTATTTCAGCCTTGTTTGCATTCCCTTTTGGCAATATTAACTGTTCAACTAACATAAAATATTCATAGAATCATAGAATACGCTGAATTGGAAGGTACACATAAGAATCATTGAAGTCCAAGTCCTGGCCCTGCACAGGATAGCCCCAAGAATCACACCATGAGCCTGAGCGCATTGACCAAATGCTTCTTGAACACTTTCAGGTTTGGTGCTGTGACCACTTCCCTGGGGAGCCTGTTCCAGCGCCCAGCCACCCTCTGGGGGAAGGACCTATTTCCTAATATTCAACCTAAACCTCCCCCAAAACAACTTCAGACCATTCCCTCGGACCCTGTCGCTGGTCACCACAGAGAAGAAATCAGTGCCTGCCCCTTCTCTTCCCCTCACAAGGAAATTGTAACTCTAAGGTCTCCCCTCAGTCTCCTATTCTCCAGACTTGAACAGACCAAGTGACCTCAGCCACTCCCTATACAGCTTCCCCTCAACGTCCTTTACCATCTTCATTGCCCTCCTTTGGACACTCTCTAACAGCTTAATATCTGTCTTATATTGCAGTGACCAAAACGGCACACAATTGTCAAGGTGAGGCTGCCCCAGTGCAGAGCAGAGCGGGGCAATCCCCTCCCTTGACCAGCTCATGATGCTTTACCTGATGCCCCCCAGGACACAGTTGGCCTTCCTGGCTGCCAGGGCACTGCTTATTCTTATCCAGGGACCCTGAAATCCCTTTCTGTGGTGCTACTCCCCAGTGTCTTGTTCCCCAGCCTGTACATACAATCAACAATATTACCTGTCAGATAAATTTTAAAATTTTTTGTGAAAACTGAAACCAAATAAGATAATGTTAACTTCAGTCTATCATTTGCCATTCATTATTTGTCTATTTATCTCATTAAGTAGTGGGCTTATACTTCTTCCTTTTATCTTTACGTTTTGTATGGCTTAAAAAACAGATGGAAATTAGACAACAAAAGATAATTTCAACTAATGTTTATATGTGCGATCATATTTGTACCTTAATGAGCTAAAATTTCTCTGGATGTTCAGCAACACTTGCAAAAACCACATATGTACACTCCTCTGCAGAAGTCAAAGTTGATCCATTAAGCATTGTGAGGGAACAAATAAATCTTTGTTCCAAATTACTCTCTGAAATGAGAGAAGCAGGGACAAAATAATGGGTGCAGTTGCACAGCAGGGCATGTATCTGTAAAGAAAAGTCAAAAAAAAAAAAAAAAGAAAAAGAAAAAGGTCTATTTCAGAAATGGATTATCTTAGAAAAAGTCATGATTGTCTCTTCCATCCTTCAAATCTGACTAGTGTTATCTCAGAAAAAAAAACATTACTGAGAAAGGGAACAATTCTTGCCCATTTTAGTTTTACAAAAAATTGTTTATCACAATAAGGAGAACAGAGTGAAGGCATCTTGAGCAACTGCTCACCCGCATAACTGAAATAAATCTTGAAGGAAAGTACTGGAAAAGCAATACCTTCCACATTTTAAAAGAAGGCTAGTGATGCAAGGAATGTGCTAGAGGGGTTAACCTATTTGTACCAAAGAGGTGGAAGAATCTGATGAACAGGATGAATACTGCAGAGAAATATTGTAAGGTAGGGAAATAATAATATTGGCTTATTAGAGTTGTATAAAATCGGAGGGAAAAGTCTGCTGCATGGAACAATAGGCAGTTTAAAATTTTGGTGCATCTGAAGTGACTTACAGTTTTCAGTGTAAAAAACTGCCCTAGAAGGTCTGGATACCAACATGTGCACAAAAAGCTCAAGTTTACTGCTACAAGTTTTTCATATTAAAATGAATTTGGGAGAAAGATGGTCATGGGGCTTGGTATCTCAGCTGTTATTTGAGTGTTAATGAAATTCTAGTATCCAGGAGCATGCAGTGAAATACACAGCAAATGTAGAGTATTCCCAAAAGGTATACAAATGTGTTTGGAGGGTTCATACATGTAGGTGTGGAGGAATACGGTAACTAAAACAGTCACTTAACCACAGGCTATGGCTTTTACCTACCATGCAGTATGGTTCCTAGTACATCATCCTTTTCTGTGTCTTAGATGTGCCTACTGCAGGCTAATAGATTTCCTTCGGAAGCTGAATTATTTAGGAAAATGAAGCAAGTTTTACACAGAATGAGGTGTCCTCAATATTAAATGACTTTTGCCGAATATCTGTTACGTGAAAAAGTGATCAAATACATCCCATACTGATGTGGAAACTCACAGCTGACTTTTAGTTCTGAAATCAAATGTGTCAGGTGGTTTATCCAAATTTGATCTTCAGTGTTTCGAATAAGAGTGTTGCCTTGGCCCTGTCTTGCAGTTTTCTTTTGGTTTTCTGATCTTTGAATGTATGTTCAACAGAGATTTAATCTTCCAACAGAGATTTAATCTTCCAACTTTGTTAGTATGTCAGAACAGGACGGGTAAGGAAAGAACATTAATTGACTACACATCACAAATCATATCAGTGTAATTGTGCTGGCACAGACCTCGCAGCCTATCAAGCAGTAGACAGCATCTTTCTCCTCTTTTTTATATTGCAAGGCAAGAAAGAAGATAACTGTCCCTGTCTATAGTATTGATAACATTTCACATTCCTATCGTAACACCATTTATTAGTCTCCTGTAAGATAAATCGGTCTTATACTTCTAATTTCTCTTCGCACAAGGGACTTTCCCTTTCTCTTACCCTGTTTTGAATATTCTTCTGAACTGCCACTAACTCTATGATAACTTTTAAGGAAAAGTTATGACCAGTATTTTGCAAAAGAGTCTCAATTTTCATGTCTGTAATGGTAAGCCTGTTTGTATGTATAGCCTATATTAAATTTTCCAGAAGTTTTTTCTGTCTTTCTGGTTTTACTCTGTCTTGATGCTGTTCTTGAAAAGATTTTGTGTAGGTGTATGAAGTGCAAACTACTACCTTCTTTTCTTTATTCTGGCCTCAGTATGTTCCAGACAGGATCATGACCAGAAGCAGGATAAGCATAAGCTTCTTTTGCCAGACTATTGAGTCAAAAGGGCTTTGAGTGCTTGCATAAAGGCAGCCTTACCATACTTATCAGTCTTGCTTTTATCCTTAGGAGGTGGAGTGAAAATGGGGATTAAGGTAACTCAGAACATGACTAGAAGTTGTTAGGTTGTACTCTGCGTGCTTGCTTTACAGATTTAAAAAAAAAAAAGTTTTAGCACAACTCACAGACCCCAAATTCAGTTCTAAGAAAACTAAATCTAACACAACATAACATAAGCAGCTATTTATGAATAGGAAACTTATGTAGAGAGTACCATGGAAACATATTTAAATTCAGCAATAATATGGCTTAATTTACATATTAATTAACTTTAATTCTACCAAGTCAACTCCTGATAACTGTATTAGTCTGTTTAATCACAGTAAACATGTCTTGTTTCCCATAGACCTCTCTCCCATAGACCTCAATGCAAAAATTGTAAACAAATATATGAAGCTTTATTTTCTCACATAGAGCAACTTTGAATATATTGGTCATTTGGTTAGGATATGAAAAGATCAAGAACAAAAACCAGCCTTGATAATTTCCAGAGAAACAAAAAACATCTTTCTAATATTATTTTGTACATTTTACAGGAGGAGTATGTCTTGTGGGAAACCAACATCATGACTAAGAAGGAATGGGTCAAAGTGAATATACAGCTACCAACAGGACCAGAAAAATTAAAGGTATGAATGAAAAAAAGTGTGTGTTCAATTTGTGAAGATGCTTTACTTTATTATTTATAGAGCTTCTAGGAAAATGAAAAAAAAAAAAGTTAAAATTGTATATATCCTGAATGTCTTGCTGATTCTTCAATATGAGTAAATATCTGGTTGTAGCTCAACAAAATGTCTACACAAACATCACAGGCAGAAGCTGCTGGTTTTCAACAACATGGGAGAAAATTAATACAAATCTAACCTGATTTGGTTAGTCATCTGAGTCCATCTCAGCTGTTACCAACTCATTTAAATGTATATACTATTGTGTAAGATGATGCATATGATCTTTGTGAGATTTCAGTGAAATTATATATGCTACTAATTGAGAGGATACCTCCTCCTTGTGTTTACAGGCATAGAGAAGAATGCTAATTTACAACTACTTAATTCTTATACTAATTTACAAGTTTTTATTTTAAGTAATTTTTCATTTATATTTATTTTTTGTTATTCTGTAAATAACCATCATATTTTACTGTTTCAACAATCGGTTGAAAACATTATCTCTATAAAAGGACAAAGACTAAGCCTACTGCAGGAATTGAGGTTTCAACAGATGTTAGAATGAATGCATTTCAAGAAGGTAGTAAGTTCTCAGTGCATGTCACTGCCTGTCTCTCCTTTTCACACAAGGACAAGTGTGAACAAACAAGCAGATGTGTAATTAGGCTATCTATAGTATCTAAAATAAATAAACAAATAAGTTAAACCAAAACAAATAAATGAAAAGCCTGCTGAAGTTGTATGCATATAAGGAAAGAGCTAAAACTGTTTTCTTTCACAAAGACTGCAAGGATCACTTGTACTTCGGAAAGAAAAGATATTATCTTTATTTATGAGGCTATGTCATGTTTCCTGCACGGTATTGTGCTGTTTGAACCAGTAGAGAATGGAGAGTGTTAGAAGGCTTTGCTTTTGTCTTTGTGAAGAAATTGTCTCTAGTGGAAGATAGTGACATAAAACATTGTCATCGTTTAGAAAGAAAAATGCCTCTTGAGATTTCACTTCAACCCAATTCCCAGTCTTTGGGGAGTATGCTAGACCATTCTGCTTATGTCCCAAACCCCAACTGACTCTTGCACATAACCACTTTCTGAGACACACTATGGTCATGTCCCAGCTGGTCAAAACCCACAACTCCATTTTTATTTATTTCTCCAGCTCTTGTTTTTCAGTACTTTTTTCATTGCAGTCTTCATCTTTTTGATATCCTGCTTGCTGCTCTAACTCTGGTAAAAGAACCTGGAGAGCACACGTGGGGTAATGACATTGTTTTGAGGTCCAGCAGAGATGGGCTCCACCAGGGCCAGGAGCAAGATGTGTTCATCTGAAATTTCATTACCATAACTCAGCTTGTGCTAAATCTGCTCAGAGCAAGGGAACTCTGTCAGAGAGAAAAATGCTCCTTGAAACTCTCTATGTCAATAGCAGTAATATAAGCCAGGTGAGGGCACAGGCCTGACACTGGTGAGTAACAGTCCATATAATTAAAACATCACCATGGTCACTAGCAAGGTTTTGACCCAAGCAAATCAACCACCTCCCAGGCAGTGTCCAGAACAGCTCCAGGATTACAAACAGGTAAAAAACAACCCCACTGCAAAGACTGGGTGTATGTATTTTATCATAAGTGATGAAACAGGTGTGAGTTAGGCTCTGATATGCCAGTTGGTGCTTGAGGACAGTCCCCAGCCCATTTTATGCACCTGTGAGCGTAACTGAAAATTTTTCTCTTGGGTATCTGCAAAATGAGGTTATGAAGAGACTTCAGAAAGGAATATGGAGTCTTTAGGATATTACACTTTAGCATACCTTTCTAAAGCACACAACTTTTTATCTAAATGCTTATGAGATTATGAGGGGTTTTTTAAAATAGGCTTTTTTTTTTTTTTTTTTTTTACTTCATTCTTGGAGTTCATCAAACCATTTTAGCTGAAAATTTTCAGAAATTTCATCTGAGATAGTCATACAAAATTTCAGATTCTGCTTTGAAATTTATTATGGTTTTGTAGTAGAAAGTATGCAGTGCTTTTTACACTTAGAATTGTTTTATATAAATAAAAATCAGTTTATTTCTGTTGTCTGTTAACACAAATATTTTAACTGTGACAATCCACAGCTTATGTTTAAAGGAACACTCCAGAGCAGGGAAGGTTACATTTGTCTGAATAGCATCCAGCTCTTGGACATCACAACATCAGAGCCACCAGGTTCCTGCTCCCTAGAAGAATTCACCTGCAGGGATGGGCAGTCCACGGCACCTGGAGCAGCCTGTGATTCCCACACAGATTGTTCTGATGGCAGTGATGAGGACCCAGCAGCTTGCTGTAAGTGAATGTCACTGTTTTAGAAGAACACTGTGCTGAAGAATACTGTGAAACTCGAAGAGTTCTATACAACAAATCACTAGACAAAATATTGTTAATTTCTATGGCTTCTTTTCCCCAAAATACTTAATGACTTTTAGGTTAGTGAAAATGTTCATAGCATTTTCTGTTATGCATTTTTTTTCCCACTGCTTTCTGTTTTTCTCTCAGCTCTCAGCATTATCTTTTAGATCCAAATAGTACTTTTTTTAAGTTTTTGCTAAAATGCAGTATTTAGCATATTTTTGCTTGTATGCATTCCCTACATACAACTTTTATAACCTCTATTTCCCTAATTTGCTAGGGAATAAAATTTGCCTTGGGATTTATTGTTTGAACAGTTTCCTAATTTAGACTGTCTGTGAGTTACTGTCAGAAAATGCTTTAAGTGACATGACATTTGCATGGTGATAAAAATCACCATACAAATGGGCCACAGTTCTGAAGCTACATCTTCTTCATGTGCTTAGAAGCCACAATTTCTACTGTACAAACAAGAGTAAAAGAAATTAATTAAAATTACTGGAAAATATCTGTAATAATTCTGAATAATTTTAGATCTCCTTGTGAAAACAGCTTTAGAGACCCTATCACTTCTAAAATTAATATTATAGGGTTTACATCTGTATGTATATTTACCTGTGGTAGTAACAATTAAATGTATATTGCAGATAAAAACCATGCACATATTTAAGATCTTGGTGATGATATACAGTGCTGCTGGGAGGTACCAATTAAAATTTTGTGTATTGCTCAAGATAGCTGGATGAAAAACACTGATAACGTTTTGTTTTCTAATTGCTTGATGAGACTTTAGGAACTATTTGTGACTACAAGCTTTTTTTTTAACTCACAGTCTGAATCTTCAATTTGTTTTCAATTACTTAAATAACCCTGAGGGAACCATCTCTGAAACAAATAATAAGTGCAAATGCTGAAACAACATTTTAAATAGGAAGGTATACACTGTTTTATCTCTGGGTAGAATCTAAGGAAACATTAAACTCTACAGGGGCTCCCTTAGATCTCTTTTCTTTTCTCACAAGACTTGACCCTATGCTGCTAGCTCTATGTGTTTGCTGGTAGGAGTGTGAAGAGTCCTCTTATGTTCGTTATGAGCAATGGAATGAAACTGAATTGTACTTTTAAAATTGGACTGTATTTTTCAGCAATTTAGCCATCTCACTTCATAACAATGGGAGAGAATTGCTGTGAATAAGGACTAGGAATATAAAAGAATAATTTCAGTGTTTAAAAAGAGGATGAAAAATAATTATCACAGTTGAAGAGTAGCTGTTAACCATACTGTACCAAGTGAAAATAAAGATATCTTTAAACACTTACAGGTACACTCCTGTGCCTCAGACACTGGACATTGGCACTGGGTGACCAAAAGACTAACAAATTACCTAAATATAGTCAGTATTTTAAAGAAAGATCACAGTGGGACTCGTGGGAATAGTTCTTCCATCATGCTGATGTGAATGGGTCAGAAAAACTGGAGAGTGGGCAAAAGAAGGAAAAATTAAAATGGCCTGGGAGTCTCAACACTGTTCTTTGTGGAGTCTCCAGAGTTCAGGTGCTAGGGCAAGAACTGATGGGAGGCAGTCAGTGCAAAACCCTCTTCAATTGCTCTCTCTGCTCCTTGCTGCTGCCTCTGCACTTAACTTGGGTTTACCTATTGGACTGATTCTCCACTAACTCCCTTCGGTTTAAAGACAACCGTAGTTGAACCTGAGGTATAGGGATTGTTTTCTTCACTGTGTTGGAGTAGTCAGAGGTTAAAGAGGTATCATTTTGTTGGAGTAGTGCACAGAAGTATACTCATCCTCTCAAAAAAGTGTGAGGAAATGTTCTTTTCTAAAGTATAAGTAACCATAGTAGTTGTTAATTCTTCTGACTACTGGCTGAAAAGAAAGAAAAGTAAAAAAAAAAAAAGCTATCTTTAAAATAACAATAACTATTGTTAAAGTTGGCCTATTTTAATGGATAGTATTGTCTTGGATACTTCACACACTCCTTTTCAGGAAAGAGGACCCTAATGATGGAATTTAGCTATTCAGTGGTTTAGTCAGCTTAGAAGATTCACCTTTCTAACACTTTCCACGGTTTTGAACAAAAGAGATCTAAAGAAAAAAATCCTCCTTTATTTTTGTCCTTTGTTCTTTTATTCCCATTACATCCATTTTACACAAGATCTTGAAATTGTCCTCCGTGATGTTTAGAGTGCACTATATTCAGTCACATTAATTTTCAGTAAAAATTTCTATCTGGTACAATAACGCACATTTTAGCCTTTATTTGGTGTTTTAACATCTCTCCTTGAACACATCCTCAGGAGTTTCCTTTGAACAAGTAGTCTCAGGTACTGAAAGAGCTGAGAGATCTCATCCTGAATGAAAACAAAGGCAGACAGCTGCTGCTTAACAATATGAAGCATATCCCTGTTCTCTTAAGAATTTTTTTCATTACAATTAGAAAGTTAGAAATAATGTCTCTCTTTGGTCATGTTTACTTGGCATATTAAAATACATGCCATTTTAATAACACAGTTTATTAAAAGAACAAATACCTATATGTTTTGTAGTGCTTCTCAATCTTTCTGTTTAATCTCTACTCATTTATATAAACATGTATTTCGGTATGTGAGACTTAAAAGACTCAAAAAGTAGGAACTTGTCTAGGAAACACTTATATACATGAGTAAACACCTTTAATGGAGTAGCTTTGTTGAAATCAATGAATCTAATAAAGTGACAAATTATGAAATTAATGTTTTTAGTATTAAATTCTCCATTTTCATTATGTCTTTTTGACTATCACTTATTTGTGATCACATCTACGTTTTATTTCTCAGTGACTGATAAAAAATAATCCAAACCTAGTTACTATATTCAGAACAGAAACTGAGATGCAGAACCTACATCATTTAAAGGACTATAAAAATCCTTTTCACACTAATGTCTTTACTTCCTACTAAAGATAAAGGAAGCTTTGCACTAAATACTATGAAAAATAACTTATTTTCAAACACTATACCTACTATTATTTTACATTACTTATACACAACATCCACAATACTCATAAAAATGTCACAAATTAATCAGCAGCTGCCAATCCTAGCAACTTAGAAAGAGTCTAGCCTTAAAGAAAGTAATTATTTTCAACTAATATTACACTTTGATACAGTAGTGTTTCTAGAAGTTGCCTCCTCATCAGCATTCATATAAATTCAAAATTATTGTATGGAGGGGACATCCTACAGCTGTTTCTTAAAAAGCATCACCTTCCATTTAGCCTAATTAGAAGCTTTTTTAAAACACCTGTCTTTTCCTCTTTTGCTTTTAATTTAACCTCTCTAATATTAGCTTAAATATTCTCAGCTTTTCATAGAATTTGTATAATATATGAATATCAAATATGTAGAATGAAGGAACTTGTATAATTTTAAAGCCATGTACCTTTTACTACATTTCATTTACAGTATAGCAATTTACAATTGCAAATCCTTGAAACTTTCCACAGCAGATGAGCACAGATGCAAATCCTTTTACTACCATTCAACTTTAAAGTAGAAAGAGCATTTTTTTAGTATGAAGCATTTGTTTTACTAACCATTTATGTCTTTTCTGTGACACATTATTGTTCTGAAATTGTCAGTATCTGTTCATCGGTCTCATATGTGCACGTGGAGAACAAGAAGGCACATCCATATTATTTTCACAGACTTTATTGCTGACAAGCCCTGTGTCCCATTGCCTTTGGGTTTCACCAGAACTGTTAGCTCATAGTCAGCAGAACCTCTGCAGACCAAGGGTTGACATGAGATTCTCTGAACACCATATGTCTCTTAACCCTAATCAAGGTAACTGAGTAGTTTCAGGAGATGAGGCCATCTCACCTCAGGGTGTTATGAGTTATCTGTCTAACGATTTATGACATATGGAAGTTCAGGCTAGATGACCTGTGGTCATCTGTGGTGTTTCTCTATGCATCATTTAACAAATTCTAGATAAATAAAACTAATCACAAACTGGTAGGGAAAGTGCACAGAGAGTCAGAAAGAAGGTATATGTGTAAACCTTCCCTTTCCCAAAAATGCATTCCATACTCTTAGTCAGGTAAACACCAACCTCATGGACAGACCGAGTGTCCCCAGTTGTGTTCAGTTGATTGAGCTGCCAGAGTAGGATTGAAAACTTTCAAGCAGTTTCAGTCTAGCAAAGCTGAAAGAATATTAATGTGCTGGTAACCCAGCCTAGTTAAACAGAACTACTTTGTTTTTCCCCCAGGGAGAATCATGAGAAGCTGGGACAGAGTAAGCTAGTCAAAGAAAAAAATATTCCCATTTTACCTCCCAGTGCTCTTGGAATATGTGCTTTGCTTCCTGTTTATTTATTTATTCATTTATTTTTAAATATGTGGAAAAAATGGTTTGTATGAATTGGAAAATCTTTCCAGTGTGTTTTATGGCTTTAGTAAGCTGCACTTTTTTCTTGAAATTAAACTGTTTGGGGAACACTTTTTTTTTCCTGGTTGCATCATTGATATTTGTAGAACTGGTGTAATAATTTGCTCCTTGATTAATTGAGACATGCTGATATATCCACATGGAAAAAAAAATGGTTTGTTATTAAAATGAAAGCAGGTTGCTGTTTCCTTTCTATTGTCCTTTCTGTTGTGCTAAATTATAAATAGGTGAATGTATAAACCAGAGAACTGAGTTGTTTTCCATTCAAAATGCTGAAAATCTTTCTGCAGTTCAAATCCAGTGAAATCTTCTCAGTGAAATAAAAGACATAAGCTCTGATGATAAGAGTTGCATTAGGAAGGGACACAATATGTCAGAAGAGAGTCTTATGTCAAGCTTACTTAACTAGTATGACTGCTCAAAAACTACAGGTTATGCAATCACATATTTTCCAACTATGTGGAGTGCAACATTATCAATAATCACTTGAAGTTTCAGATAAAAATGTAGAAAACAGGCTGTGAATAATAAATATTATGCATTGGTTTTATAGGAAAGTCACATTTCTTAAGGTTTATTAATATCTGAGCAATGAAAAAACACACCGAGAAACTGTCTCATTTGGATTTGTGTTTTAGCCAAAGTACAGAACTTTTCTTTCAAGCTTGATTAAACATTTACAAGCGCCTCTTAAGTTTTTAGAATTCAGTAGGGATAAAGTTTAAGTCAAACTCTTAACTTGGACAACCGGATTTCACTCACATTTAGTGTCTAGCTGTTCTCCAACATATTTATACTTTTAAAAATGAAACATCACTTCCAGAAACTACATAGGCTGGAACACTTCAGTTTGGTGAGTGACTCTGGCCCAGTGTTTCTGCAGGACTGGATGCTGGTATAGAGTTTCCTTCCTCAGCACTCCCCCCTGCAAACAACCATCAACAACAAAAAAACCTAGAAAAATCCCAAAACAACTATCAACAACCACAGCAACAAAAAACCCAAAAGTACATCACCATGAATGTTCTTTCTACCTTTATAATTGTGTTCATACTTGAACAAAGTTTGAAAAACCACTGAAAAATTTTGGGATTGTGTTTTCCTGTGTGTGCCTGTCTTTTTTTTATTTTTTTTTTTTTCCCCCCACTGCTTATATATTCAGCCCAAAATTTGATGTTTGGACACTTCTTTCTACAGTGTTAGAAGAAATTGTGCTAGTGATCATCAATGTAAGAAATCATTATTTCACACCTTTCTTCCTGTTGAACATCAAGGGCAGTGATGGGCTCTGTCTGATCACATGAAAGATCTTGGTTTTGTTCTGATCAGTTAAAAGCAAATCATAATTAAATGATTAGCTAAAAGCAAATCATAATTAAATACTTCCATGCTAAATACCTTATTGAGCTTATCATTAGTACCATCTTGATTTGGGCTTTACATTTAAACCATTATTTTAACTTTTTTTGTTGTTGTTGTTCCTACACAGTCATTTATTTATGTCTTTTTGGATATTACTATGCAGACATTGCAGCCAGCTGCTTATGCAGTTCTTTCACAGGGTTTAGGGAGGCCAGAAGAAAGAGAAGTTTAAGCAAAGAATGTTTGCCTTTTTGTGCCACATTGGTTCTCTCGAGACTGCTTAGCTAAGGAAAGCACAATGCCTAGACATAGTATTAATTACTGAACAGCAAAATGCTTAGTCTTGGATATCAATTTGCATATTCGATCTTAATGTACTAGCAACTGAAGTCTAATTTAAAAGATACTTTGTCAAAAGCACAAGAATTTTGTAATCAAGTAAGTTAACCAAGTTTCTTGTTTAACTAAATATACTGCATTGCACAGAAAAACATGCACCATTAGATTTTAATGTATATAGTGAAGCCAGATAGGAGATGCAGATATTTGTGATTTATTTTGTACCTTAAGATTTAACTGCTCAAATAACCTCTTTATTCTGGGGAGACTTTTACCACAGAGCTTTGTTACCACAGTGCTCAAAGAAAGATGCATTTCATTTTGATTGTGTACAATGTGAAAATTGGAGTAGTATATATGTGATGGTGTCCGAGGCTGATATGATCAGATGAATGTGTCATGAAAGTGGAAAGTGAAAAATACAGTTCTAAACTAAAGGTTACAGTTGCAGTAAGTGACCCAAAGAGTTAAGTGTATTGCTTTGGGAAGGTGTTCTGGACGAGGAAAAAACCACTCTCAGAGTATACAATTTTCTTATCAAAGTATTTATTTGTACTCAATAAATGAAATAGTCTGTGAAACTGTTATACAATTTAAGTTGGTCTAATCCATACCAACTGAGAAAATGGTCTTTTACTTTGCAATAAAAATCTCTAGGAGATCTGAATAATTCATAAATTTAAATCTCATTTTCAAAAATAAATTAGGTGAAAGCTTAATTCATCTTCACTTTCCATGTATTTTAAACTCTAAATACATTTGATTTTCCCCACACATTCATAATTAATTTTCCAGTACAATTCATCTTTAAAACTTTCATGATATTACTTTCATAATCCATCAACCTATGTACAGGTCTCACCTTTACTATGATACAGTTTGTTCTCTTAGTATATCTAAATAAAAACAGTCATAGTTGTGGTATTAAAATGTTGCATCAAATTCAACTTATTGATCTCTTGCTGTTATTGTTCTTACAACAGCTAATTACACCTTATGTGATTTTGAGACTGACCTTTGTGGATGGAGGCCACTGAGCAGAGATGATGCTGACTGGAACATAATGAAAGAACAGGCTCCCCTTGACAGGAAACTCCCTGGCAGAGGTAATACAGCTAATACAGGGCTTGGTGAGATTTCTTTCCCTATTATTTCTTTGTCTATTTCCTCCTTCTGCCATAAAAATTCCTACTTGTGAATGGTCACAGACCGATAGTAAAAACTGACTTGAAATAGATGCTAAATAGTATGTATATAACATAGCAAGTGTTACAGACAGCTAATCTTTTGGGGATGCTCTGAGTTGGGAGGTGGCTAGTACGCCTTTGTAACCCTCATTTTTGGCTGGCATAATCAATGACGTAGAGACTTGATGCAGTTTCTTGAGATACTGACCTTTGAACTGACAGCTGACTCTTTGTGCTTATCATAAGTGTTGTTTACCCTATGCTCACAGGGGAGCCATTCCTGGAAGTATTAGTTGGGCAAACTATGACTGTAGCTTTTTGTAAAGTGCAGGTAAAATAAATCCACATTGTATGGAAAAAATAGAGTGACTGTAATAACCTTTAAAGAGTTGTTCTTCCTTCAGCCCATATTTACCATGCAATGCATTCTGCTGGAAAACCAATTTATTCCAGTAGAGGGCTGTTTTAAAGTATTTTTTTTAAATTAAAATTGCTGAGCATGTTTGTCATTGTCAAAAAATATTGGCAAATATTCTGTGACTTTAATTTTATTAAAATGTAACTAATGCACTGCTTACAGTGGAGATCAGATTACTTTAAAATCTAGGTTACAGTCAAATGGACCTCTAAGTTAAATTTATTTAATGATGCATATTATCTAAAATCAGACCTCCACACATATTTCACATGTCAAAGTAACATGAAATATTAAGTATTCCACCTCAAGCATTCAAAGATAGAGCAACTCCAGAGTTAAAATACACCTGAGCAAACATAAGGATGTGTATACGTGCTATAGAATTGTTCTGACTGCAGTCATGTACCTGTTTTTCCATTAGTCCTTGTGTGATGAAGTGCACCAAGGTTGCTACTCACTTTTCTCAGCAGCTGTTTGATATTTCATTTTATTGTCTCTGTAGAGTGGCACTGGATCTGCATTACTGCATAGTCTGCAAACACTACTCTGTTACAGCTTCCAAACTTGCAAAGCCCCAGAGGGTAGCACTGATCAGCCTGTGCCTTTCTCTGTTCTAGGTTCTGGTGAGATCTGAGGTGCAATGTGGTCATAATGAAGGCTACTGACAGAAACATCTGTTCTGCAGCCTAAGCAGCATGTTAAAATTTCCCGTATGGAACTATGTGCTTTTGCAATTAAGCTGCTTTGATACCTGAATCATTACAAGTTTGGTTTAGTGTTGCTGCAGGTTGAAGCCTCAAGCAGATCTTGAGGTTACCATGCCCCATTTCTTGAGCCCAGCATTTGGGCTCAAGTTGCATTCCCCATATAAGTGATTTGAAAAGGTATTTCTGAGGTGTTTTTTTACCATTCTATCGCTACGTCTCCTACAGCCACAGCTTTAGAATTAGGATTCCAGAATCTGAGCAAGTTTTTGCCAACAATAAATATTCTTCAGGTTGCAACAGTTCCTTGTAGTACCACAAAGCATTCATGTCTCTTCTCTCCTGGGGAGTGCAGCAGCAAATTTTGATTAATTGAGATCTTAACAAGGTTACTGTAGAGCCTCAGCTGCAAGTTAAAAGAGGGTCCTTTGAAGTATCCTTGCATTCCAATGAGGGGAGCTTCCCTGGAACTGTGGGCGCAGCGTGCCTGTTTGTACAGGGAGCTGTAACGGTCCCCTCTTTGTGCCAGCCTTGCTAAAGCGATGCCATTATTCACGTGGGGCTGGACCTAACCCTCTGCTTTATTATGTATCCATGGGAAATAAATGGCTAAGGAGTATGACTGTGTCAGCACAATAGCTGATTTTCCAAGATGTAAGGCAATATGTGTAATATCAATGCGCAAAAAAGACTGAGCCTTTAGTGTTGTTTTGCATAGACTTTCATGAAAAAGTCTCAGTATTCAGCAAAGGCAGCACTGACGGCATTCAAAATATGCTGCTTTAGGGCCCCTTGAAAATGTTTATCCTTCCCTACCTTTGTCTGAAGCACATCTGCTGTAGTTCAAATCCAAACGCAGTTCATTTGCCAGAGTTCAGATTAGATCTTTAATTAAGCTTTCATCCCCACTAGCACAGACAACAATGTCAAGTCTGTAGACCCCATGAGAAAATATAACTTATTCTATTGGCTCCTGGGGTCTGCAACATTGTTAGCATGCTTAAAACTGGCTGGGCTGTGCTGAGAGTGAATACTTTACCCTAAAGGAAATATTTTTTGTTTTAAATTCTGCTTGAAACATTAGTTAAGCCAATTAAAATGTGTCCTTTAGGGATCTCGGCTGAGCTCTGCGCTGTTTGATCTCCAGGGCGCTCTGTGTTGCAGCTCCTTTCCTCTACCCAGTCCATGCTGAGAGCAGATGGGCATCATGCAAAGGTGATGGGAAATAGCTGTAGTATTTGCAGCTTGGAGATCTTAAGTTTTTGCTTGAAGAGAGCAGATTAAAACAATTCCAGTGGGTCTGCACAGTAAGCCCTCAGAGAAGCAACATCTGAACTCCTTTTGCAGTGCTCCATATTCACCTCCTCAGGTTTAATTGCTTGCAGACACCATGGCAGGGTAACCTGAGCAATGGCTGCCCATATAGCCTTATTTCCTTCTTCCTGCCTCCTTGTCTTTGGAATCAGTCATGGTAACTTGGCAAGAGGCAGGAACATTTAGCAATTGTTTTGCCTTTGCTTGCATAGACACTGTTGCAGCCTGTTACAACACCCTCCTCCTCATCTCCAGAGACTGAACTGACGGCAAAGCTATTTCATTTGTTTTCATCTGTGAATAAGCTTTATGTGCCTCCTGGAGCGTATAGTTACCTCTCTGAGGTAGCTATTTGCCATTGGAGCATGACATATCTCTTCCTTTTTTTTTTTTTTTTTTTTTTTTTTTTTTTTTTTTTTTAATTTGATTTTAGGAGCATTTGTTTACTTCGGTGGATCACATCAGATGAACACAAAGATGGTCATGTCTCATCTGGGGAGCCCTTTTCTTGTCAAGATGTCCTCTGGGCTCTCCTGCTGTCAGGTAACAGTTTGGTACTATGTCCCCACATTTGTAAGCTATCTCACCTGATGAGCAGATATGGTAATCTTCATGCTGTAAATGTCGCTAGTGAGGACTCTATTTCAAGACCAGTGGAAAGAGTTACAGACTAATTATTTGGGAGGAGGGAAATGCAGCTGACGTTTTGCTGCTTTGCTGCCAAATGTTTATATCTGATAGTTATTATTATTGTTTCTAAAGCAGCAAGTAGAGGACTCAGATTTAAGCAGACCCTTCAGGTTTTTGTACGCTTTAACAAACCTATCTGGACAACAATAAATAACAGGGCCACATCAAATAGCCACTCTGCTGTCTGTAGGCAGGAAAGTCACATAAACAATATTCCATAACAGGAAACCTATGGTTTGAAGTCTCTATATACTTTAGCTATGTTGGTGGGACCAACATTTTAACTGACAGTTTGAGAGGATGTTTTTTCAGCTGATTAGTGCAGCACTTGAGAGTTACCCTGAAATGCTTTTTTTGTCAAATGTCTTGTGGCTCTGCAGAGGAATGCAAAAACAACCAGCCAGGGTGGCACTTGATCTGAGAAACTGGAAAGGTACCTGGAAAAAAATGGATCAAAAGGGCCAAAAAATACAAACGTAACAGATGAAAAATGAAAACACAGTTTTATAACTAGAGTGTTGTAATTTTAACCAAAATGTGTATTTTTAAAGCAGAATTTGAAGAAATATATTAAATATGTACCGTATGTAGTCACTGCAAGAAAACATTCCCAACTGGAGTAGCTACTGAATAAAGTAAATATATATTGTAAAACTTTATAAGGTTTTTTTTTTCTCTTTTTACCTGAGACTTTTTTTTTGTTTTCTATTCTCTAACTTTTCAAAGCTTATGCCATACTGGGAAGAAGCTAAGTTGTGTAGTTATGATGTTAATTTTTTTCTGCTACTGCATAATGCCTTCTGATTTAAAAAATTACAGAGAAGAACGGGGAAAGACAGAGAAAGCTTGCCAAAATAATTTTATTGTGTTTGGTGGCAAAAAGAGGCTTTAAAGAAACAAAATAAAATTTAGACTGGTTGCTTAGTTTTTCAGGCTCAGTGTAGAACAGAAAATATACTTGCACTTAGGAAACATTTTTTCAAAAACAAAAATGTCAGAAAAGAAGGAACCACATTTAGAAGGCCCAACAAGTAGCAGAATTTTATTTCAGCAGGATCTAGGCATCTTAGATTTTATCTCATGTAAGGGACCTGAAGCAAGTGCTGGCTTAAGTAAATCTGCTTTACTTGAAACTGTAGCTGACTTGGACTACATACATCAAGGAGTTACCAGATCTCATCTGAATATTGCAACTTGCAACTGAGAAGTAGAAGCCTCTTAAACAATTTAAGAACAGTTCCTCACTGCTGTTTAATGCAATTTCTCAGTTATTAATCTTCACATGGCTTTTTAGTGTAGTAAAGCATCAGAAATTAAATAGATGCAGGATAAAGTCAAGCAGAATGCTGTTGCAGGGAACTTGTAAGGCCTCATGGCATCCCATCGAAGCCTTGCATGTTGCATTACTCCTGGGACACCCACCACACTTTGTATCCACCATGCATTGTTTAGGCAGTTTCATCTTTCTTTTGTAGACTTTGATGCTGAGTAGATAACTTAATCTGTACCTTAAAGGTGCTTATGTTAGAAACCCTTAAGGCAGACTGGGCACAACTGATATGTGAATCAATGAATTATTCTGGTTAGATCTATTTCAGAGTTTGGTCTGCATTCAAAATAAACACAAGTGCAGTGGGGATGCACATATTTTTCTCCAGTTCAAAGGCAGAAAAGAAACACTTTTTATTATAAGTATGCATGTATTGAATGCATTCAAAGTTCTCAGATTCAACAAAATCTAGAGCAAGTTCTTACCTTATATGTGTCTAAAAAGAGAGTGGTTGTGAAGCCTGAAAGCCTGGCTTTCTGCCACATTTTCCCTATAGACTTTTATTTCTGGGAAAGAGCAAGGAGTAGGGGTTGCTCATTAGGATGTGTTATGTTCTCTGCGTATAAATGTGAGATGATGTCCTGTTAGATGTCCCACTGAGAGGAAAAAAGGATCCACATAAAGAGATCTGTGTTTATTAATAGCTTTACAAGTTCTTTGGCTCCAGTTTTTTGAAAAAAAAAAAAAAAAAAAAAAAGAAAACAGGAGTTGAAGGGTAACAGATTTATATTGTGCCTTTCTGGTTAATTTAAGCTTAGAAGTAACTTCTTTCTGCAAATTCTTGTAGCTGTCAGCTTGTAGATGTCAGCTTGTAGATGTCAGCTAAGAAACACCTTCATTTAGCTCAAGGGTTTAGAGTTGTAGAAGCAAAATTCTAGTCCCAGCTCTCTGTTTATGACTTCTAGTGGACACAGTAATTTTACAGTAGAACATGTAGACATAGAGAAGGAGGGTAACTTTGTTTCTTACATAATGAAACCATAAATTTGTTTGAAAACCAGCTTAATAAACAAAAGCCATCTAAATTGTTCAGTGTAGTCCTCCAAACAGCTCATTTTGAGAAGTGTTTGTATACCTGCAGCTTTCTATTTCTTAAGCTTTTTGATGGGGAAAAAGTTACATGAAAGTATTTCATTTTAATAATAAGTCTCAAGATTATTTTATGTAAGACATGATTTTTGTGAGTGGGGAAAAAACAAACTCCAAGCAAAATTGATAGACTGAGTCCACCAGCCATGCAACCAGAAGATATTAAATAGTACCAGTGTGTTTTAACAGGAACATTTCTTAACCACTGATCCTGCTCTCATTTTGCCTCCATGAAGAGTCAAATATTATCAAGGCTTCTGCAGGGAAATAATGATACTGCAGTTGAAGAAAGCTGAGTCTATCACTATATGAAAAAGCAAGAAGGACTCGGGGGAGGGAAAAAATTAGTCTTTGAAAATCTTATTTCTTCTCTTCAGCTACCAGATGAATTTTTACCCTGGTAGTATTGAAAAAAAAAAAAAAAAAAGAAATTAAATGTATCAGGTTTGCTCTGCATTGCAGGGGAAGCAAGTGAACTGTGATGCTCACTAAAAAAGAAAAGTAATCTTTGAGAAATTTCTAAGGACTTACTAAGCCAAAAAGAATTAAAAGAGGCCATGTTATTCAGTCTGAATAAGTTGATAGATAAAAGTTAAAAGTTGTAAAAATAAGCTTTACTTTTAAATATGATTTTATCTTCAGACATGATACTGCTCTTCAACATGCTGTGATTTCCTACCTCCATTTCTTTTATTCCAAGTCTGTGTTTAGACCTGTCATGTCATTCTTTGTTATAATGTACATATATGAATTGGTGCTGAACTTATTTCAGATTGATTATGTACAACACTTTTGAAAGTGTTTCATTAAAAACTCTTTCAACAGGTAAGATTTTGGTACAGGTTATCTCAGGGTTCCCAGCTTTCTGTCTTTAGGAGAACTGCATTGGATGGAAGTTTGGAAAAATTACGTGACATTTCAGGATCGCCTGAGATGAAGTGGACAAAAGGGAATATACCTGTAGAAAGTGCAGCTGAGGAATTACCTTTTCAGGTAATTAGAAATTGCATTTATATTGCTTTCAAAAAGTTACTCCAATTTGGCCTTTAGAACTAATTTACTTTTATGATGAAATGTAAAAAGAGAATTTCTATTCTTTAATGCTCATATGAAAAAGAATTTTATTTCACTTTTTTTTACAGGTGCAACTACAAAAGAACGTGGCCATTGTTTCAATATTCTATGCATTAGAATACCCTTTTGTAATAAACATCAAGTAGCAATAGTGCAATAGCTTTTCAAAACTGAACTTTCTATAAAAAAATACTCATCAAAGTGAGGGCCTAATTATGTTGCCTAAAGGCAGAAGAATCCTAGAATCCTGGAATCATGGAATTGACTGGATTTGAAGGGATGTTAAAGATTATCTAATTCCAACCGCCATTGGCAGGGGTGCCTTTCACTAGACCAGGTTGCTCAGAGCCCCATCCAGCCTGGTCTTGAACACCTCCACGTATAAGGCATCCACAGACATCAATAGAGATGGCTTTTACCAGTTTTGATTGAAACAAGGTCATCTGGGTTGCATAACTTTCCATAGGTAAAGGTAGTTATGGCTTTGACAATTGAGGAGCAAATTTCTAACCTGTTAAAGTCTTAATTGTAGTTTTTCCTGGCTGGTATTTAGAGTTGATCTTAGGCAGTGTTTACTTCCTGTGCAAATGTTGTAAATTATAATGGAATATTATAGATATATTGCATGTGTGCATGTCTTTTTGTCATGTCACTTTTAATGAACTAACTTTTTTTTTCATCTTTACAGATTATTTTACGAGGTACTATTCTAACAACAAATGCCACTGTTGCTATTGATGACATCAGTATAACAGAGGAATGTGTAGTTGTGAATAGAACACTTTCAGGTGTCAGCCAGGAAAGTGAAGGCAAGTTTTGTGGTTTTCAATACATTTTCCCCAATGTCTGTTGTGTATAACTGTGATTTGACTGACAACTTGAAAATACCTTTAATAAAGTGGAGGATGATCTGAGAAAAAAGTGTCTATTGTAATCAAACATCTCTCTTGAAGTGTTCCAGGCCAGGTTGGCTGGGTCTTTGAGCAACATGGTCTAGTGAATGGTAACCCTGCCCATGGCAGAGGGGTTGATCTTTAACGTTCTTCCCAACCCAAACCATTCTACAATTCTATAATGAAGGCTCTCTCTCATCCTGTTATACAGTAGCTGCTATAAGTAGTTTTTCCTAATTCTGCAAAGTGAGCTGTGGCGAGAATTTCCAGATACCACTTACTGTGTAGTACCTGCTCACGTCCACATTCGGACTCAAAAGTAGAAGCAAAGCATCTTATATCTTGCACTGGAAAACAAATTCCACTGCATTACCTTTAGGACAGGAAGCTTCTTTCCATTATTATTGTTAAATATCTAAAATATTATAATAAGTGTCCACCATACTTGTCTGTGTACTCTTATTCTATAGTCTTAAAGTGCCAACAGATGGAAATATAAAACAATCTTACCTTCTGTCAGACAGCTACTTCTAGTCTTCTTGATAATAATAGCTACTTTTCAAAAGTGGCATGGGCACATATGCAGTCAGGGGTAATGTTGCTGGGTTATAGCCAGCCAATAGTTGAATTTCTTTGCTACTGAAAAATTTAAGAGCATAATAGAACACTTCAGTGTTGTGTTTTTAAGGCTTCTCTGATCCCTATATACATGTCGATGGTAGCTAAGTATTTAAAGAAACATTAATTATTTTCCCTCCCCACTTACTCATTAGTCACACAGATACTGTTTTTAGAAAGGAGTGGGGGTTTTTTGTTTTCTTTTGGTTTTGTTTGGTTTTTTTAAAGAAAACCCTGTCTGGATAGAAAGAAGAGTATTTTAAAAAGTTAAGTTACACATTAAAGATGAGAAGCTCTGCATCATTCCTCTCACTAGCTCTGTTTCCAGAAAACTACTGAAGTAAAACCAGTGGACTCTGGTTTTTGTTCCCCCATTCACTGGAATTTGGGGTGTTTTGTAATGTGTAGGTTGAGGTGCAAGCTGGTAGTGGTGAAGCATCCAGCTTTTGTATTCTTGCAGCTTTCACTGCTATCTGAACACAGAGGAACCACCTGCTCCCATCCTCAAGGGAAAGAGCAGGCAGCTGTGAACAGCCCGTCACCTCTGAACAGCCTGGCTGTGTAACAGTAAGCTGTATTTGATAATTTAGCACATAAAAATGTGAATATTTTGGAGAAGAATATGAAGTTTAAGAGCATCAGACATTAAGATCAGCTGTGTTTCTTACCAATTGTGATATAATCTAGCACACTTCATAGGTGATGCTATGTTCCTTAGGCCGAGTACATTGCTATATTAAAAGATCATACGTGTGTGTTTTTATTAATATATTTTTTTCTGATTTTTAAGGGGAAACAGAATTTGCAGATGCTAATGCTTCATCTTTTTACTGTCCACTGGGATTTTTTTCATGTGGGGATGGACAATGTATTTCATCTGACAAACTTTGTGATTTTGCACCTGACTGTTCAAACAGCCATGATGAAGCCAAGTGCCGTAAGTGAAAATTTAAAAATCTATGTTGTTAAGCTCCTCTGATTGTGTTTGTTTGTCCTATTTGCAACGCTTTTATGACCTCATAAATCTTGCACTTTAATTAAAAGTAAAAGCTCTTGAGAAATAGTTACTTCACTTTGATTTTGTTCTGTGAATTTTCCCCCTTTTATTTTCTGTAGCAACTATTTTTGTCCTAGTATTGAAACCAGAAAAAAAGTTTTTGATTAATTATTAAGTAGAAGCTACTGCGTAAAAGAGAGTATTTTATTTTATAATGCTAATGCAGTGGTCACAGACTCACATTCAAATTGTATATTTTTTATACTTAATTTTGATGTGAAGATGCCACGGCTTTCACCAATACCACTAACATGGTCACAGATATTATTTAATGTGATTCAGCATTTTCTGTTTGGATGTGTTATGACTCCAGTCAAGGTTTCATGCCTAGGCTTTCTCTGCATGGAAACAAAGAAGTGGGAAAGTAGAGGGAGGTGATGCATCTCAGAGTCTCTCTCTCCACTGTACAGTCAGTAGGGAGCTTGGAAATGTTTCAGTCTCCATGTAGCTTCAAAAGTCTTTTTGATTCATTCAGTTGCCTGCTCTGCATAAGAAATCACAGTCATACTTTTGAAAATGAGTCTCTTGCTTTGAACTATCAATTTTGCTATAAAAGTCATGATGCATTTTCAAAGGAAGTTGCCATGGGCACTATTTAATACAAGCTTTCTTTAAAAAATATAGCATGATGGTTTTCACACAAATAACAGAAATATTGTAGAAAAGATTCTCCAGTTATTTTCTGCGCTGTTACGCATCACAAAGCACAAACTTCTTCACAGATGCTAATACAATCCAAATTCACTGCTTATATTTTATAGTTTTTATTAGGATGTTTGAAAGCTGTTGCTCAGTTATATAAAAATCTATTTGACTATTAGCAGTTAAAAGAAATATTTACATCTTCTATTTGTATTAATGTAATTTCTCTATAGATTTAGTACCCTATCTTTCTTGGCTAGAGCACTCATGTTGAGTGTTCTAGGTGTTTAGAAAGATAGGTATCCAAAATATACAGACCTTTAAGATATGAAACTGTGTTTTGTTTTATTAGACAACTGTTTGACTAGTTAAAACCAGAAGCAAATATTAAATGTTCACTAAGCAGAATATCTTTCCTCTTGTGGGCCAGAGTAAAGAAAATTCTGATGTGACCATAGCATAGCTGAGGTTGGAAGGGATATCGAAAGATCATCTGGTTAAACTCCACCCTGCTCAAAGCAGGGTTCATCAGAGCAGGATGCCCAGAACTTTTCACAGTTAGGTTCTGAATGTCTATGAGGATGGAGAACACATAGCCACTTAGGACACCCTGTTCCAGTGTTTGATCACTGGAGTACAGCAACAACAAGTCCTTGTTGCTTCTTCTCTTTTCTCCAGGCACTACTGAGAGGAGTTCTTTACTCCCTCCCTGTCCACGTTACTCATATTAAAACTCTTATGACACTCCATCGCTATTTGATTTGCTTCATACTTTTTTCTACTTTACTTCAAAGTATGCTTATTCACCTTATGCAGCATTGGGTATGATAGTCTGGATTGTTTTCACATTATGCTTTGTAAACTCAGGTACTGGGTATTCTCTGTCAACATAATAACACTTCTAAATCAATAGTTTAATTAAAAACATTCTAAACAGATTTAGTCACAAGCAACTTTCACTGTTCTGGGATAGCAGTGAACTGGTAGCTTTTAATCATGAAAATTAGGATCTACTTGGGCTTTTTGCCATTTATATTGCCTTTTAGCTATTCAGCCTGTGTCTTCATTTCATCATACATAAAGGTGAAGACAAATGTCCCGTTGGTGTTTAATCAGTCCTAGACTAGGCTTAATTGCAAGTTGCCTATGTGGTAACTTATTTTCTCTTTCTTTTTCCTCTAATTGCATGACTGAAGAAACTTTTATTATACCGAAGTCTCAGTTGCCCAGACAATACATTAACAATGCCATGTTAAAGGTTAAGCTTTGGAGCCATTATATTTATGGTGATCTTTGCTCTAAATATGTTGCTGACTTATAAATCATTGATAGTGCTGAGCTGGCTCAGTGTGTGCTAGCACTGCAGATCATAAAGTGGGAAGCACAATGTAGGTACACAAAGGGACTTACAAGTAGTTTGGCAAGTTGACCATTTCTAAGCAGTAAACTTGCCTTCCACCATGTTAGTCTGGTAGTCTACAGCACTTCTATAACAGCTCTCGTAATTCTTCTCAAATGTTATCTCACCATCTTTATGCTTATGAAGCACACCATTACTTTCTGTATTTGTTATGTATATTCTTGCAATTGGATGCAAGCACTTTATTTTTTTCAGGCACTTTTCCTAATTTCTGAACTTGGCTAAACATAGAATTTTTTTTTTTTACTTCACCTTTTACAACTACATCGTTCTTTTTATCAATATTCACATTTTTTTCCATGATGTTCAATCTAATAATGATTGTATGCATCTTAACATTCTTGATGTTTTTCTTCTTTGTATGAGAACCAGGCAAGAATATTACATGGGTCTTTCAAAATATATTCAATTTACATCCTATTATCTTAAATTCCAGTGAGACGATTTCCTTATATGCTTGATCCACTAAGTCCATTGATAAGCAGGGTCTCCACACAATTTTCTTATCTCACAACAGCAATTTTCAAGACATCTCTTGGTTTTCACTGCCCCTCGAATGAATTGTTCTTTTCTGTCAGGCCTGGGAGAAATCAGTTGAAGATTTCCATTTCTTGGACAGACTTTTTATCTAAAAATAGATTTCTGAGCTCACAGTGTTTGCAAGAAACTTACTGTTACTTTTCTTCGTATACAAGGCTGTCAGTGAATTTGTATTCTCTACTTGGGTCCTTTGACCATAGAAATATGTTCATGTTCTTGATGCTGACACAGGATGAGATTATTCTTTCTTCCAGGTTTCTCAGTTGCATTTTACAAAAAGGTATGTTCTGTACTGAAAAAATAATTCAAATTTATTCTGATTGCTGTGAAAAGTAAAGAAAATCCCCAAAAGACATAAGACATTGATTTTTTTTGTTTGTTTGGGTTTTTTGGGGGGTTTTGTTTTGTTTTGTTTTGGGTTTGGTTTTTTTTGAGTACTGCTACCCTTGACTAGGGTTTCCAGCTTTTCTTCTACAGATGAAGAATTTACTATGGCATAAAGCTATTATACATGACTTCCATGCATTGAAGCAGAAGAGAGAAGCAACAGCTTTTTCAAACTGCAGATTTATAGCAGTGACCCACCATACCTGTCACACTGTGTGTTTGTGCTCTGGAAGATTAATGCACAGCATGATT